AATCAACTTCTTGGAGCGTAAGTCCTGGAGTACGCAAAAACCATCAAGGAAGATTAACGCAACATGATTATCTCGTGTTAACTTGCTGACGGATACCAAATTACAACGAAACTCGGGAACATGAAGCACGTGGCGAAGAGTGAAGCCAGGCTGCAAATTCACTGAACCAATAAGTTTAACGGGAATACTATCACCGTTTGGGATACGAACCGGCTGTGTATTGGGTGGAATACCCTTGTCCGAGAGAAAATGTTCATGCATGGTTATATGTTCGTTACATCCCGAATCAATAAGCCATGCAGAACTGTCAGAGAATGTACCTGCCATATGAGCTGCCGGGTCTTCAACAGAGGAATCAGAGGCTTGGAAGAATTGCTTTAGTTGCTGTAATTGGGCCAAAGAGAACCCAGCCACTGGACTTTGTTCGGCATCAACCTGGGATGCCTTTGGTCCTCTACCTGCTCGATCCCGATTGGAGGAGCTCCCACGAGACTCACGGGGTGGACGATCCCCTTGCCTGTCACGTGGTTCACGAGAGGGACGCTCACGATCCCGGTCACGATCGCGGTCGCGATCACGGGGTGGGTAGCCATGCAATTCCCAGCACGATTCACGGATAGGAATGGCAATGGGGCAGGTCCGGGGCGGGTTTCTTGGTACCCAGACCCGCCCCGTGGCAGGTCGGGTCCAGGTCGGGTAATTGATCACGGGTCGCGGGTCGGGGCAGGTCGACCCAATGGGTATGCAATTTATATGAAAAACATTAGAAATATTCGTTATTTTTATTATAAGACTAAGAAAACAAACAATATTATGACAATTATAGTTAAATTATTGGAGAAATTGAAGTTTTTACTAATTTACAACTTTATTATAGCTAAAATATGATGCAATAAAAGGAAAATTCTAAGTAATTTGACTAAGATTACATGTAAATTAGACAAGAACGGGTCGAGAATGGGGCGGGTCAGGGCAGGTCGGGTCGATGAGACTACCCATGCCCGCCCCGCCCCGCCTACGGGGCGGGTCGGACCCGCCCCAAAACAGGTAAAACGGGTCGGGTAAAACGGGTCAGGTCAAAATTGCCATCCCTATTCACGGAGATGCCCTGTCTTTTGGCAATGGGTGCAGCGACGACGTTCCCGTTCATCTCCACTGCGTTCACGATCCTTGGAATTTTGGGTCTTCTCTCGATCACCATGAGCAACAAAGGCAGCAGCCTCCGGTGAAGAACGGCGACTTTGAGTTATAAGCTTCTGTTTTTCTGCATTCACAATAATGTTAAATGCTTCACCAAGAGTAGGAATGGGTTTCATAGCTAGAACCTGGGTACGAACACTGCTGAAAGCATCATCAAGCCCCATGAGAAAGTCAAAGACTCGAGCACTTTCTTGCTGTTCGCGAACACGTCTTGAGACACCGCACTTGCATAGCCCACAAGTACAGCTCGGCGGAGGAAATATTGCCGATGCCTCCTCCCAAAAACTCTTCAGCCTTGTATAAAAGGTTGAAACCGAGCCCTTCTCCTGCTGTAGAAGAGAAATAAGCCGCCGCAACTCATAGGCGCGTGCGGAACTGCCTTGACCAAAACGCTCGAGTAAATCAGCCCATATTTCACGAGCTGTCTCGGCAAAGCGAACACTGCTTCGTATTTCCTTGTCCATCGATGTTTTGAGCCAGCCTTTAACCATGGCATCACATCGAATCCAAGCATCACGTTCAGGCGGATTCGTAGGTTTAGGTATGGTACCATCCACGAACCCGAATTTGTTTTTCGCAAGGAGGGCGTCCTTCATATCGAGAGCCCACTCGCCGTAATTGGAGGCGGTCAGAATATCCCCGACCAGCATATTCCCAGGGCCATCGGATCGATGGAGCTGGAGCACTTCAGGCAAGGCATCATCATTCTTGCCCTGCGACTTGGACATGACGGATCCATCATCGTCATCACTCATGATTGCGGAAACAAGGTCCGGAGCTTAACGCTCTGATACCATGTAAAATTGAGAAAGAACGATAGAACGAGACACGATTTACGTGGTTCTTCCTCACGTTGTGTGAGGCTTACATCCACGGGAATTTGCTACTGCATATTATTGATCTTCGGCTTGATAGTACAAGCCATATTCTTATACCCTTTTACATCAAAATTATCTAGGGTTACAGAATGAGAACGTGAGCTAGATGGGTCGGCTGGGTCGGCTATGGGCCTTCCCTCTGCATGGGCTGCATGAGCTGCATGACGTGGGCCTGTAGCATCACGTCGGTCCAATATCCTCTGTCAATTTGCTAACAGATACCAGATTGTGAACGAGTTTGGGAACATGTAATGTATTTGATAACTGAACTCTCCCGGTAGTAGTTGTTCCCGGACCATGCATAGGAAGATTAGCTCCTTTAGCCACTTGCAAATGCACCCCGAAGCAGGTTTTATTGTAGTGAAATTCAAACGAGAGGTTGACATGTAATTAAAGACGAAAGATTCTAAGAACAATGAGGAGTTATACCTTTAGCTGCATGAGTTGCAAATGGATATGTCAGCGCACTTGGAAAAGCTTCTTCAAGTTCCTTGTTGTCAAGTCTTCGCATGCCTACTCACTAGAAGTCACGACTGGTCGAGGAGAGAGGAACTAGTTAAGATATTTTGCACGCTTTCCCTCAACAAAATTACGAAAGTAGAACTCCCCCAACGCGAAGTTCTTCACGTACGTCGAACTTAATTGCCAGTTGATCAAGCTTGTTAAGATCCATTATCACATCCTTGACAATGAACAACCACCAACAACAAACCCTAGAAGATATTTTTTTTTTTGGGGAAACTCGAAGAAGCGACCAAAGACAGTAAACACACAGAAGAACAAATCGTGATCTTTTGCCAAACGAAGAGAAAAAGAGGTCGAAGGTTGCAATCTTCCTCTAGCTAATAAATCAAGAGAAATCATCGCAAAACAGTAACCACCACAGCGGACACAAAGACGAAGAATCAAAGCTTTCGAGATTGTCAAAATAATTAATGAATTGAAAAAGAATGATCACAAGACACCGAATTTTTTAACGTGTTATCAGGTAGACACTAGTCTACAAAGAGGATCTCCCTCTCAGATTTAGTATTAGATTTTTCTCACTTAGAATTAGAGAGAGTACAATATATTAATATGTTTCTAGCCGCTAATCTAGCTTTACAATTATCAGTTTTGTACAGAAAAATAAATTATTTTTACAATGAATTAATTGTGATTACAACACATCCATTTATATATTTTTGGTTAAAATTTTCCAATCATGTATACCACCATAACATAGTTTTCATACCACCATATGATATAAGACACATTTATGTACATTCTTTTTTACCAAAATAAATCCCATTAAATGTCATTTTGTAATAGTGCAAGTTTACTCTTAGTCTTAATTATTTTATTTACTGTTCCTTACGAACTAATCGGATGTTATTTAATGGGTTCCACTATTTATTAGGGAGTTCGATTTCCTGCGGGTAACCCTAAATTATTTCGCAACTCTTTACCGTAATCTTTTGTTGGGTTGGTCAAGTAATGGTTTCAAATAGGGATGGCAATGGGTCGGGTTGGGGCGGGGTTTGTCAAACCCAAACCCATGGGTTTATTCGTCAAAAAAATCCGGGGTAAAACCCGTTGGGTTTGAAAAACTCAAACCCAACCCAACCCGCTGAGCATCCGCGGGTTCATGGGTACCCGTGGGTTTTTGTGGTAAAAAATTTACAATAACAAGTTTCTTTCAAAATAAAAGTTAACATCAATTTTCTCATACAAATTATTCACACAAAAAACACCAATCTAGAGCATATAAGCAAACCGCAATTGATCAATACAAATTGTTCAAAATTAAAGATAAACATCTATAAACAATAAGATTAATTGAAAGCTTCTTCCTCGTCAACTAAGTTTCTTCACTCTCCACTTCATAAATCAACTTCATTCTAAACAATTAGAAAGAACAAATTATACATGTCTCCACAAACATAAAGAATATTAGTTGTTTAAGGAAGATATATTATTTAGAATACTAAATATACCGGGAAAGTAATTATATGTGTGTGAGCGGGTACCCATGGGGCGGGTTTACCTAAACCCAACCCGGCCCGGTGAATAGTGTAGCGGGTTTAAACCCGAACCCGACCCAAAACCCGTCAACACGGATTTTACCCGCGTTGACCGGATTGGGTCGGATGGGTACCCGTGGGTTCGGGTTTTGTTGCCATCCCTAGTTTCAAACACTTTTTCACTGCCCACCAATTTAATTTCTTAATGTTGTTTTATAAATAAAAGTTTGGCTGGGTGTAAAATAAGTTGTTTTATTTAATCGTTTAATAAATAAATGTGAACTTTTTCTTAACTTTGTTTTATTATTAGACCATACCGTACGAAAGATTTTTGTGTTGTTATATAAATAAAAGTTTGGTTGAGTGTAAAATAAGTTAGTTTTATTTAACCGTTTAGTAAATTTGAAGTTTTCATTAACTTTGATTTTATTATTAGACCATACAGTACGAAAGATTTTTATAACACAAGTATAATAGTGATAACTGATAAGAGATTTTTATCTCCTCACATCTACTCAATTTTACCATAAGCTCTTTTGTAAAATCGGTTACTACATAACTGTTTAATTAATAAATGTGATGTTTTTCTCAACTTTTTTTATTATTAGGTCACATAGTGTGTAATACTATTCTATGACAGTTACGTAAATTACAAATATATTACGTAAAAGTTATGCTATGATAGTAATTTCTTATGTGTCAATTAAACAAAGGTAATACATGAGTCTTAATTTTTTTTTAAAGTGGAGTGGTTGTTTCATAAGTCTTACATAATGATTAAGACATTATGAGAAAACTTATGAAATTTCTTACATATCAACTAAACAGACGTATTGTGTAAATCTTTTGTAATGATTAAAAATTATTCACCATATCATCAACTAAGCAGAAGTATTAAAATAAGTAGATGAAGTTATAATTATAATTATTGTCTTACCGCTGTAAAGCGTGAGCCAAAATACTAGTATATGTATAATTACATAAAGGCACCTTAATTAACACTCGTATCCAACCCCTCGATCCTAACCCACGAATTTATTTCCGAATTAAACATTAGCCAACTGGTCGAGATGTTACACACACCAGAACTAAGATTCTCAACAAAACACAAAAAAGAACTCGGAGAGAACAGAACAGAACTTAAGAGACTAGAGTAGCGTTGTCATTCCTTTTTACCAATCACAAACTCCCGATTATCAGTTACAACAAATCCCAGAGCAACATGAACCAAACTTTACAAATCCTCGTCACATTCCAACAATCACCTCACCACACAGCCAGACACCCTCGTTTAAGTTAAAAAAAGGAAGGTAAAAAATGTCACACATGCTCTTTCCTTGTTATCTCGTTTCTTCATGTAGTCTTTCAGATTAGATGTCACCTTTCCCCCAGAAACAGATCCTGAACAAATTTTACAAGCGAGGACGATATCAAACCCCGGTTTTTTGTTTGTCTTTCCCCCACGGATTATCCAACTCTGATTCTATCCAACCAATCCACACTTTTCCTTCCTTTCTCCAGCTGATGATCAATGCTCCTTCTCGGTTTTTCATAGTACTCCACGCTCCTCCTTGATCTTTCCAACTGTTCGAACGGGAGCTTAAACTTGCTGTCCACCTTCTCAATGTTGGTAAACTTGTACTCGTGGAATTTCAATTTCTCAGGACGGTCTGTGCTTTTTCTGGGCTTCTCCCTCCTATCTGTACTCTTCCTTGACACGTCGTAGCGATCTGTACTCTTCCTGGCTTGTTCCATCACGTCTACGCTTTTCCTGGCAGAGCTTCTCCGGGAAGGTGATTTCTCAACTGAGATGATGAATTTCTTTAGGTGTCTGAGGTATTCTGGAAACAACTCCAGGTCGCAGTGATTTCCTCCCTTCAGCCATAACGGTTCATATTTCTCCTTGCAGAGTTCCCAAAGCTGCTTCCCGTGAGAAAAATCAACCACTTCATCAGAAGTTCCCTGTAAAACAGAATTAACAGTGGATAACCAGGCCAATACTCAGTAACAGTGTTCGATCATTATCAGAGACAAAGTAAAGAACAAGAGACTGAGTTCAATTGAGCAGAGGTGGTGCCAGCCAGTCCACCTCCCATGCTTTCTTGCACCTGATTTTGATGATTATAAATTCCAGGTCAATCTTCGGATACTAGACCAATTCATATAGAGAAACCTCTGTAGGAACTCTTCTTGCACCATAACTCATTACATCAATATATACCATTATTATGGAGATCAATCAGTTAAACTTTTGCTTTGCTTTGAAGATATTGACGGTTGTAACTTTCCATATCACTTTCCTAGCCATTCCTATTCTTTAACCAAATTTCCTTACAGAGGCCCTCTTCCAGATTGGGGCTACAGGTTAAATATTAACCCTCTTCTGACCATCTTTGTAAGCTTGAATGTTGATATACAATAACTAAAATTCCCTTGTTATTTTCAGAAAAGGTAGAAATTTCTATTCGTTTCAGTAGTTGAAGAACTCGCACAAGGAAATTAAATTTCCAATGACTTACATGGATTACTAGTACAGGGCACTTCACCAGTGGGATTTTGTCAATATTCTGTTCAGCATCCACGTAAAATAGATAAGTTAAGGCGCAAATCCTCGCTGTGCAGAATTATGTAAATATTGCAAGCAGCTTATGCAAAAGACATGCCTACCTTATAGATGTCAAACCAATATGATCGTTTCACAGGATACATGACCCTCAAACCAGAAAGTATAGGACTGTGCAGGACAACAGCTCTTAGTCGTGGTAGACGTGCAGCAAGATCAAGAGTAGGGCCACTCCCAACAGATTGGCCATAAAGAATGATGTTTTCCTGCTTGGCTCCATAGTTTTCTTCAAGACACTTGTAAGCAGCTTCAATATCAGCATAGGTATTATGCTCACTAGGCTGCAGAAAGCCACAGCACAAGTTAAAAAATGTTACTATTTTGTGACGCAAATCATTGTCCAAAGGGAAGTATAAGCACCATGCTTACCTTTCCCGTTGACTGTCCATAGCCAGAGTAATCATACCTGAATGAGTAAGACAAGCAGAATTCAGGACCAGCGACATATCAAGCTTAATACTTATAGAGGCTTCAGAGACCCCAAAATAGAATTGCAATTAACAAATGCCTTCAGCCAGTTAGTTACTTGTCAGACATAGCACCCTTCATTTAGCCCCACATCATTCACAACCAGTGTTCCAAAAAGCCACAAGAAGTATCATTCCTTAAAAAAAACGGATGAATCTATATAATCATTCATCAAATCTTGTCCATTGAAGTTCCACAACGGTTCTAGAGATGTTTCTTCCAATGCCACTTCTGCAGTGAAGATATGCAGCCAAACTAGTAGTCTGGCACCAACTCCAAAACACAATTTTGCTAGCAATACCAGTCCAGAATCTTTAACCATTAATTATCAATTCCTGAATGCGATTCCGTTTAATTTTTAAGCAATACACTGGTTTGCCATTTGTCAGTACAACCCAAAATGAAAAGACATAAACTTCCCACTGAAGTTTTCTATTTCAGCCCGATGACAATCCAAGAATAAACCATAACCAAATATGGAAAATCAATGAGGTAACACATCTGTTGACCATCATATAGTACACTTAGCAATATAGATTCGCAGACAATCAACAAAATCCAAAACATGAAACACCAAATTCCCCCATGATCACATACCATCTCTCACAAAGCAGACCAACAATCACAAGCAAAGGATACCATTCATACACTAGCGTTGAAACTGGCTAAAAGACACAGAGAAACGACATAGGGAGTGTCGCAATTTAATGTTGACCTAACTCGGGCGATTCCCACTCGAGTAAACAAAGGACACGGTTGATGAGTTTCAATCAGCTGCCCACCACAAAATGAAGCTAGTCCTCAACTCAGAATCAGGCATACACGAGGCAAAAACAAAAACACACAAAGCTTCTCGAATTGAGTTTCTGATTCAACTCCATCCCAAAACTCGACGAAAGATCCAGGGCAAAAAAGAAGAAATTAGAAATTGAAGGAAGAGGAGGGCGAGGGAGAGTTACCCCATGAGATTAACTCGCAGGTGGATGCTCAATTCCACGAAGAGCTCGTACATCTGGCCGATATCAGCGGCATTTCCATGGGAGTAGAGCAGCGTGGAGGTAGCCATAGGGTACCGAACATAGACGGCGACGATCTCATTCCCGCGGCGAGTAGGGAGGCGGAGGACGTCGACGTTCTCCCGGTGGGGGAAGTGGTCGACGAGGAGAAGGCCAGTGGCTTCATCGGTGATCAGCTTGTAGGAAGGTGGGCTGGGAGGGAAGAAAGCGAATTTGGCAGCCATGGATGACGTCATTCCTCCCATTTTCCGCTCGCTGCTTGCTTCCTCGATAACAGCCCCTCTTAAACTCTTTTCCTGGACACGCAGACGAATAGTATATACAGAGAGCGAAAGGGAATTAGCTAGTGTGGTTTCTCCGCAAGCTCTCCTCTGTCTCAGTAACTGAGAATCGTTGGGGGGAGATGGAGGAGAAGGTGTAGAAGCTCGTTTGATTTCCCGTTCTACCTTTACCTTCTTCTCTTTCGCTTTCGCTTTTTTTTTTTTTTTTTCCTACTTTATTTTTTGCTTTGTTTTTTTGGAGAGCGCGTGTGAGAGAGAGATGCAAATGGTAAAGTGGAGTGTGGGGGGTGAAGGAATCTGGGGAGGCTACCCCGCACCAGACTCCAATTTGTCCTCGATAGCTAGAGTAGAGAGATTAGAGAACATGGGAATTGGAATGAATATAGTTTATGGAGTGATTAGGTGTACCCTGTGACAAGGTTAAGTAGGATTAGTTAGTTTAATTAATGTGAAGTAGGAATCTAGGGTGAATTACAACAGAGGTCACTGATATTTTCTGTTTATTTCGTTTGGACCTGAATGGAAACTAACTCGACCGTTACGTAAAATGGGCATTAGAGTGTGCATATTTTTTCAGAATGAATGACATCTTGGAGAATATGGTCGCTTTTTTTTTTAAATGTGACTAACTAAACCAAGTGTATCTATCATCAATAGCAATATGGTGACAAGTAAGGTCGTATTTTCATAGAGGCTATGAACTACTAGTAATGAGCTACTTTTCTTATTATTTAACCGATTTCTTATCAATTCTTTTCATTATCTAAACCAACAAACAAAAGCAATGAAATTCAGCACATGCAATTCACAGACACTAAGGCAAGTTCAAGAGAGAAAGCGTTGTTCGGACTTCAAATCCCTCTAGCTAATTCATTATGCTTCGATTGAATATATATAGACACGATGTTATCTTCTTTGACTGTAAGAATTCCAGAATTGCTATTACCCGATTTTCTAGCGTATTAATACCTTATTAGTCGATTCAATCCAAATTTGATATTATCTTTGATCTAAATTAAATTTCCTAATGATTAACGATCTATGAATCTCTCTATTAGGTTTTAATAATCCAAAAGTCACTCTTCCTCCATCTTCTAGCAGTTCGGGGTCCTTTTCATCTTAGAGTATTATATCATACCTATGGGGATCTTCTCCTCATCATACATAATTACATATGAAACAATCAAAGCATACAATAGGTGCACAACTATAGAACACTTGTAATATAAATCAAAGATGCATCAATGATCATAAACATTGATATCCATAACATTCAATCAAATCAGTATCATACATCTAGGGTTCATCTAATCGAACGCGTGACTTGTGACCGTATGATCATAAGAAACTTACAAGGTCAACCCTCGCACTTAGAGACCTTTGACCATGGCTTTGAAGCTTGAGATAGAGTCATTTCCTCGACTCGGGTCTTTATAAGGATATGGGGTGAAGTATATGTAGCTTGGTTAAGCATTTAAGCGAATCCCTACCTCCTGACAGTCTTTTCTAAGAGATTTTAGGTGCTCTCTCTTTTCATGTGATGCATGCCTAGCCTTTAGAACTTTTGTGGCTCAAGTGGGTTCACTTTGCCTTGTACTTTGGTACTTGGTAGCCGGATCGAGTAAGAGCAATTTCACCCCTTAGCACTTGTATAAGAGTCTACGTTTAACTTTTTATCCTTAATCGTGTGGAATGTCAATGAAATCAAGGGGTGCCGAAAACTTTATCTGTGTCCTTGAAAATATCCTCTAGTGGTAATCCTATCCACATGTGAAAGTTTTACTTGGACGATGGAAGAACCATCATCATCTTGTAGGACTACCCCACCAAAACTCAACTGTATCTCTTTAAAAACTCGATTTTGGGCAATGATAAGACACCTCACACTTGGCTTTTTACCCCACACTTTAAGTGTAAGATATTAAATTTTAATAAATAAATAAAATATCTAGCTATAATATCACAACTAGCTATAGTTGTGAATTGCGTGGAGTTATCTAGAAATTGTATTAAATTAGTTAGTTGGGGTTTAAGAAAATGAAAAAAGTAAGAACCACAAATGGTTAGATATAGAGGTGGCAATTAGGATCCAAATCCATGAATCCAATCCAATCCATCCACCAAATTATCCACCTAATCCAATCCATTTAAATCCAATCCATTTGATCCAAATCCAATTGGATTGGTGGATTCATGGATCAATCCATGGATCAAAATGGAAAATTACGATTTGGTACCTATATTTTTTATATTTTACATTTTTTGTACCTAAAATTTATATTTTTATACGAAAAATATTATTGGAAAATTATATTTTGGTACCTAAATTTTTTCATAATGACATTTTAGTACCAAATTTTTTCAAATTTTACATTTTGGTCCAAGCCTTGGATGTCATTTGGATTCATGGATCAATCCACCAATCCATTTGATCCAATCCATGAATCCACCAATCCATTGGATCCAATCCATTTGATCCATGGATCCACCAATCCAATCCACGAATCCACGAATCCGATCCAATTGCCACCTCTGGTTAGATATTAGTGGGGCTAAATAGTTATTGGGTAATCGTTTATGGTCGCCAAGTTTAGGCGACAATTTGGTGTTGGAACTTGGCTATAAATAGCCTTGGATTGTATGTGTATTTCTCATCCCAAGCAAAGCAAAAAAGAAGAAGAAAGAGTGCTTAAGCAATAGTGAGTTGTGAGATTGTGAAGAAATCAGAGAGCTTGTGAGCATATCGATCCAATTATTTCTACATGTTGTATAAAAGCCAAGGTTATTCCTTGTATGCATTGTGGTGACGGCTTAGGCCGATCTTCTACATCATAAAAGAGTTCCTTGTTGTTATCGATGCCTAGGTTATTTTCATATGCCATGTGATTGCTGCTTCAGCTGATCTTCAACATCAGAAAAATGCTCCTTGTGATGTGTTATCATAACTGGTTCAACCAAGAGCCAGTAGTGATGAAATCCCCATCAGGTGGTCAAAGGTTACAGCTATTTCAGTAAGACTGAAATAGAGAACTTGGAGAAGTTATCAAGTAAAAAGATGGAGGGTTTCTTAGTTACTGCTATGGAGTATGGAGAAGTTGAAAGAGACCAGCTACTCAAGATGGAGCACCCGTACGTATGGAGTTTTATCTTAGAGGCCAAAAGCTATGGGAAATTGTCACCATCCCACCACCAATCGATGAGAAGTTGGTGGAGGATTGGAAGCAAAAATCAGACATGATCATGTACATCTTAGCAGTCACAACAAAAGATCAATTCCTGCCTCACTTCAAGGGAAGCAAATCCCCAAAGGAAATTTGGGATACTCTCTCTACAATCTTCACCAGAACCAATGAGGCAAGACTCCAAAGATTGGTGAATGAGCTTATGTCACTATCCCAAGGACATCGACCATTGGTCAATACTACAAAGAAGTTAAAAAATATATGCGCAGAATTTTCAAAATTGGATCTTGATAATCCAGTTTCAGAAGCTCGGACAAGGAGAATTATCTTCCATGGCTTGAGATCGGAGTTCAAGGGCATAGTGATCGCAACAAGAGGCTTGTCAAAGGAGCCAACCCAAGCTGAGTCGCAGAATCTTCTAGAAAATGAAGAAATTCTCTAGACAACATATCGAAGGTGTCAATCAAGGAAGATGAGAAGATGTTGCTCAGCAAAAGTAAAGACGCTAATAGCGGAGAAAAGGCTCTTGCTTAAAAAAAGGTCAAAAAGTGGCTCTAAAAGAACCATAAATGGAACAAGAAAGACAAAAAAACATCGAGGGGGAGCCCAGAAAAATTACAACCACCATAACAAGGGTGGTGACAAAAACATGAAGAAGAATGACCTAGAGAATGTCAACTGCTACATTTGATACATGAAGGGTCATCTTACCAAAGATTGCTAGCACAAAAATGAAGAAGACGACACTGCAACTTCTTCCAAGGTGAATGATGATGAATGGGAATTAAAGCATATTTTGCAACAGAAGCTCCAAAAGGCGCCAAGAAAAACTTAGCACTTCTGTCAGTGGATGCGAATCTCATTGATTATGAAAATGACTGGATCATGGATTTTGGATGTTCAAATCACATGATTGGTGATGAACAGAAGTTGTTAAACGTGTCTGAGTACAAATGTAGACGAGTGGTTGTCACCACTAACAACTCTAAACTGTTAATCACCCACATCAGCGAGAAACTGGTTACTCCACGGTTTGGCAATCAGCAAGTGGAATTGTCAAACGTTTACCACATCTTTGGAATGCGGAATAGTCTGGTGTGAGTATCACAACTGACATCATCTAGCAATTGTGTAGTATTCGGTCGCAAAGATGTGAAGGTGTATTGAAGATTACAACCAACTTCTAATCCCATCATGCAAGGGTAGAAGCTGGAGTCTGTCTATGCAACGTCAAAAGAAGCTCCTTATGTTTACAAGACAAGACAAGAAGGAATGAGACGACAAGCTTATGGCATGCTCGTCTAGGACATGTTGGCTATTAAAAGCTTAGAGTGATGATGAAGAAGTCCATCCTCAAAGGACTTCCTTAACTTAATATTCGTGAATATATCGTATGTATACCAGTATGGAAAAACTCATATGTGACACCAGTATGGAAAAACTCATTAGCTAACATATGAACCTCTTAACTTTAATTTCCAAAATATGCTTATTTCTTTTTCAAATTTCGAACCGAACAACATTATTTCGAACGCTCACCCCTAATCTCCTAGCATGGACCCAACGGCAGAGGAGGTGGCAGACAGAAATTGGAAGACAACAACGAGGGCAAAAATTGTGGAGGAGAAACTCCAAATGAGATGGTTAGGAGCCATGTTTCTGGAACCCAAATAGACAGAGATGAGATAAGTGGAGATGCTTATGTGTAGCATTTATATAAGAAAGCTTCAATTTGCGGTATTTCTTCTCTGCTTTATTTTGTTCAACTACATAATTGACTAGCGCTATGCAACGGGTAACGGTGAAAATTTAATTGAACAATGTTAGATTGAATTAGAATAAATTAAATTTTTATTTCCGTTTGATTTCGACGGTTAGAGTTAGTACTTTTTGTTTTATAAATTTCTTAAGAAACAAATGTTATTTTGTCTTCATGGAGGACTTTTAGATTTTTAACAGTATTTACCCCTGTATATTTTGTTTAAATGCATAGTTAATAATTGAAATAAGTTAAAATGAATGAATTTGTATGTTGAAAACGAAATTTCATGAAAATGCTATAAATAAAGAAAATGATCACAATGTTAATACAATATCTTTTATAATTTAAAATGTACCACAATTATCAAGTTTATAGTTATAAAACAATTAATCATCTCAAAATTTTGCTCAACAATTGGACGTTCTTATTGGAGATTTTGCACATCTTAACTTAACATCTTCCCGTAATTACCAATCACATCTACCACGTTAATCGATCATAAAACTGAAATATCAACAACTTTACCAAAACTCGAAACGACAATTTGTAGCTGAACACTTGGTAAATCAATTCATCGCCAATAGCAAAAATGTGGATGCGATTGTTCAGTTGTTGCAATCAAGTGAAGTGCATAGGTTCTTTTAACAATAGTGCTTACAAGTAGAGGCGATCGATCGATTCATTGAAATCCACCCTAGGATCTAACTAATTCAATAGATGCACGGGGCTGAGATTGTTGCAGGTTGTTGGATGTAGAACTCAGCAATAAATCGGCAAGGAAAAAAGGAAGATGCTATATCTATGGCATCGTTCATGTTTTTGCTAACAGAAGCTTGAATCTTTCTCTATGAACCATTTGACATTCCTATCCTAAGGGCTAAGAGGAGAACTCCACAAATTTGCCACAACTTTACCATAACCCTGGCAATGGCCACATCTTCAATTTTACTGACATATGCTGCAAGCAGTGAGCAATCAGATAAACTAAGAGGAGATTTATGGTTTAGGGTTGCTGTCTCAACTCTCACGCAAAGACTTGGGCATCTAGTTTCATTCTGCAGATCGTGACCGGTCCACCCTTGCCACTTCTTACTTTACTATCACTTTTATTAACTCATGTCTATGACTATCTCTGGCGTTAGTGTACTCCTAACTGGAAAACAAAATAGCTCTAATGGTTTCATGCCTGAAATAGATTTGTTAAGAAGGGGGAGTCTGGCTGAGAGAAGCAAATGATATAAGCACCTTATATTCATGCTACTAAATTGCATTAATAGTGGCCAACATGGGGTGGGATTTATACATTTGTCCTGAACAGATTCCTACTCTCCAATACTAGGTGCAGAAACAGTATCCTTTGAATCGCAACTGCACACTCTGAACCTAAATAATAGAACCTAACTTTGCGAACAATCAGTTACATGAACAGAAAGAACAAAGCAGAAGGTAAGAATATGCTCCGCTTCAGACTTCTAATGTTTTCACAATAAGTAGCCAGCTTAGCGACTACGTCTCCTTCAGAGTCATCCGACAAAAGACATCGATGCTGAAAGTTTCAAGACCAGTATCCTTCAGCTTCGGGTTTCTAAGCTACTCCTAAGTCCTAATAAAAGTACTCAGCACATGTAGTGAACACATGAAATCCCGTCATCCATTCCAACAATCTCTTCCACTGATTACTAGGAAGCCAGCATTCTTATCTTGGCAAATAACAGAAACTACTATTCGAAACTATTTCTCACCTTCCAACATAGTGTTGGACCATTAATCAAGCGCTCATCTATACTCAAACCTAGTAACAGAAGTTCCTAACCGGGGTCTGCAACTAAACATGGCTGTCACTTGTGTAACTATTGCAAGAATAACTCATGATGCTACCATACTTCCCAAACTACAATGAAGCAAGCCAGGTTGCCCCTTCTTAAGCTAAGCTAGTAAGTTTTCTCACTTGAGGTGCAGTTACCTTAAAGAATGGAAATGCAAATTAACCCGAGAACATGCACAAGCTTCAGCTACCCTGGCCAGTATCAAGAATAGATGAGCTTAGCCTAAGGTATCAAGCATATGGCCATACTCAAGAGACAACCAGCATAACAAATGACCCTGTCTACCTCAATTCAGGTTTCAGAATGATCAGAAAGATTGAACATTCAAAAAGAATAGCTCTAGGGCAGCAATTATTTCCAGAGCAATGGCCAATAGTAATACCATTCCAATCCATTAAAACAAAGGGGTGATGCTATCTCATGAAACCTGGCTACTACAACCAAACATTCACGTTCTCAAGTAAGCAATAGAAAATGTAAAAACAAGGTAGAAAAAAGAGGTCGATTCAGCTCTACCAACTTTCTGCATTACCACAAGCGCCTTGGATCACGACCTAGACTTCCGCCTGAGACGCTTTCGGAGCTTCTTGTACTTATGCTTGTTCATCTTCTTCTTCCTCTTCTTCTTCACGCTATCAGCCCGGAAGGTCTTGTCGTCATGATCAACTGCCTCATCCTCGGTCTCAACGAGATCGAACCCAGCAGCTGGAATAGGGTTTAAACCGAGCCCAAATGGGAAACTAGGGTAAATGAACCCCGAGGGAGGAGATGGTTTCTTCGCCGCCGCGATGCCGAAGAATGGAATTGGCCGGGGCGGCAGGTCGGGCCCGAGCCGCTGAGTAAAGACAGCGCCGGTGAGCGGAGAGCAGGTCGGCGAGTGCGGAGAGGGTTTGTACAGTGCCGCCGCGACTGTGCTCGAAGAGGGCGAAGTTCTTCGGAGGATCTTGGGTATTAGATTCGCCATTCTGTGACGAATCGATTTCTACATGAAAAGATCCGATCTTCTTTTCTCTTCTACTCCTTAATTGGATGGCAAATAGGATCGAAATAACTCGCAGGCGGCTGCGGAAGAAAAAACGAGGAAATGAGCAATCAGAAATCCTCTGCTCGATGAAGATTGAAGATGGTAGGGAAACTGAAACCAAACCGGGCAACACAGCTTATGGTTATGGGTAAACCGGAATCTTTATGGGCGACCCGGATTATAAATCGAAAAATAACAACGTGGAAAAGGAAAAGCAAGAACGTTGCCCTCACGCAGGATCGAACTACGGACCTTCAGTTTACAAGACTGACGCTCTACCACTGAGCTATAAGGGCTTCTGAATGGTCAATAAGTCTCTCGTGATATTATAATCGTGATTGTGACTGTGATTAAAATGAGCAACGGAGCAGTGTAGAATTGGGGAGAACCGGCGAAGCAGAAGAGAGAAGACAGCTGAGCTAGGGATGGACGAACAGAATATCGACCCTGTATGTTTGTTTATCGCCGAAGCTATTTTCCGGTCAACTCATTCTGCTGCGGCGGCGATATGTCTCACTTGCCTTCCCCTGCTGTGTTTTCAGGGTTTGATTCACGAGATTTTCAAGCACGTCTGGACGAGAACAGCCCTCGGTACACATTCCCTCTCCCTCTCTCTCTCTCTCTCTCTCTCTAGTATCATAATTCCGTCTTTCTAGTGAAGTTTTCGCGCAATTAGGAAGCTTCCCTTTCGATTTCTGCAGAGCGGGAGAAGAACGAGCGCAATGAGGCTCCTACGGACGCCGACTTGGTCATTGTACTCTCTCTTTCTCTTCCGCCTCTGTAATTTAGGTTTCACACTGTACGTTTACTTTATCGACCTGCCGTGTTGGTGCAGGTAGGCGGCGCCGGAACGTCGAAGAAGAATCGCCCTACTTCCGGTACCCGCTGCTTTTTTCTGTTTCACTGACTAGTGGATCTGTCTCTGTCTTTCTAAATTCTGATGAAAGAGTTGTGTTTTCACTCTTTTATCAATCTTGGCAGCTAACTCCAATGCCTTGAAGCTGAGCGCCGAGCTCATCCGCATTTTCATCTCAGGTTTGGTCTTTTAATCCATGGTTACTGTGGTTTTCTCCACTGGGTTGTGATGTTTTACACCGAATTCCACCATTCAATTGCTCCATCTTCAATTTGATTTGCAGAAGCTGTGCAGCGTGCGGCAGCGATCGCTGAGGCCGAGGGAGAGACCAAAATTGAGGCCACCCACTTCGAAAGAATTCTTCCCCAGTTGCTCCTGGATTTCTGAGGTCTGCCAACTTCAACTCTTTGAATGGACTGCTCCCTCCTTCAAATTCCTGTCTTGTTTTGTCCCCCGAGTGGCACACCAAGCACAAAGACTGTTACTTTTGTTGTTTAGATACAAGTGTTCCCATTTTGTTTCAGGGCGGCCATTGTTGATTATTCTCATTTTGCAGGCCTGAAAATGCTGCCGTCTTTAATACACATCAACAGATTCTCTTCAAGTCACTAAAACCACTAGTCCGGCAGCGAAGATCCCTTTAGGAAGGGGTCTCTGATTAGTATAGGCCTATAGGGCAAGAACAAGAACGGGAGCTTCTTTGTCTTAGCATGGTAACGTGATTCATTGGCAGTTTCCTTTTTCCCATTTTCCATACGGTGTGCTAGGCTCCATTTTCTGTTCTTACTTTGACTCAAAATGTGAACCTTTTTTCCTCCAACGCCAGTCTGTAGTCAGTAATACAACGACTTGGACATTGACTTCTGTCCCAAATATGGATATATGCTTAACTGGGTGATTGAGGATTTTGCCCTAATTGAGGAATCCATAGCTGCAAAATCTTGTCAGTTGCATATCTGGTTGTGCAAATTTGTATGTGATATTTAACATCTTACAAGTTCAAAACCCTAGTAGTACACAGTTTAGAGCATCATGAACCGAGTAATAACAACGAGCTGGTCGATCATTCTGCTCGGGAAAACACAAGTTAACTGACAGACATAGTAACTACAGAGTCCAGCAACAAGGAAGGCTTGTGCATTATTTGATTAGTAGCGCCACTTTTAGATCACTTAACTAGATACTAGTGCTTAAGTTGATCCAGCATGACCCTCACATCCTTGCTGTTGGGTCTCTGTTTAGGGTCCTCCATGGTACAAAAACAAGCGATCTTCAGCACCAGCAGCATCTGCTCTTCATACCCTTTCCCCATCAGCTTCGGATCAATCGCCTGAGTAGGATTCTCGGACGTCATAACGTTCTTCAGCCACCTCACCAAGCTCATCTCCCTGGTATGCTGGAAAAACTCGTCGGAGGGAAGCTTCCCGATCAGCAGAACCCCGAGCAGCACCCCAAAGCTGTAGATATCACACTTGTCGGTGAACTTCAACGTCTGATGATACTCCGGCGCAATGTACCCGATCGTGCCGGCCACATTCGACGTCGTGACGTGTGTGTTGGCATCTGGCATCGACTTCGCCAGCCCGAAATCAGCAATCCGAGGCTCCATGTCGTCGTCGAGAAGAACATTGGCGGGCTTCAAGTCCCTGTGGATTATTCTTGGGCTGTGGTTGATGTGAAGGTACTCGAGGCCGGCTGCGATCCCGAGAGCGATCTTGTACCTCGCCGGCCAATCCAACTCTCTCCTCCCTTGAGAGACGTCTTCTAATATGTTCTGCAGGCTCCCGTTCTTCATGAACTCGTAGACCAGGTAATGGCAATCGGGTCGGGTTACATGGGCCAGAAGTGGTAGCAGGTTCCTGTGCCGGATCTGGCCCACGGTGCTGATCTCCGATTTGATCTGCCTCATCTTCTTGTTCATCTGCTTGGAATCTTCGTCATTCAAATCGGTGGCGTCTTTGGATGGTTGAATCACTTTTTTGATCGCGATGATTTTGCCGTCGCTTCCGGGCAGCTCTGCTCTGTAGACTTCACCGCAGCCACCTCGGCCGATGATCTCCAGTGAAGCCAGCCCGTCTTCTTTCTCCAAGAAAGCCAGATCTTCCGATTTCTTAATCATCGGGCTGAAGATCGCAGGGCCTCCACCTTTCCCACCGCCGCGAATTGTGGCCAGAATCATCCTGAACAGGACGCAGAACACGAATCCTGATATGCTCCCGGCGATGCCTCCGGCGAGAAAGCCGAGGAGCCACCCGGCCAGCTTCCTCTTCCCCTTCTTGTGCCGCCTGTGGGGCATCACAGGTGATGGCCCTGGAGCTCCGGCGCCGGCGTTCATCGACGATGTCGGGGCGGAAGCTGGGGAATTGGAGCTGTTGTTCGGAGTTGCTGCTGTTGCGTCGTCGTCATCATCCTCAGCTAAAATGTAGCGGCTCGGGTAATCGGAGGATCGGGACTTCACTGCCGCCGGCGGGTCGGATTCGAGCTGCTGGAGGAACCTGTTCCCGGAGAGGTCGAGGAATTGGAGGTTGCGGAAGGATCGAATCGATTTGGGGACCTGCCCAGCGAAGAAATTGTTTGCGAGGGAAAGAGTTTCGAGATTGGGGAAATGCTTCAGGAAGCTCAGATCCCCAGACAATTTGTTGGAGGCGAGATTGAGGACGCGCAGCCGGAGGAGGGAGGAAACGCCGGGGGGAACTGTCCCGGAGAATCGGTTGTTGGCGAGGTTGAGAATCTCGAGCTTGTTGCAGTTGACTAATTCAGAGGGGATTTGGTCAGCGAGGCGGTTGTCGGGGAGGGAGAGCTCTTTCAGCTCGGTCAGCCGGCCGATTGCCGGCGGGAGGGTGCCGGAGAGGGAGTGGGATCTGAAGACCAGCCTGGTGATTCTGAGCTCGTAGGTGTCGTCGTCGGCGGCGGGAGAGATGCGGCGCTCGCAGAAGACGCCGTGGAGGTTGCAGGGGGAGACGGAGGTGTTGCGCTGCTGAGCGTTGAATCCCAAGTCTCGGCGGATGAGGGAGATGGCGCGGTGGTCGGAGCGGTTGAGATGGAGCCGGGCGTTGACGGCTGGGATGACGGAGGAGAAGAGAACGAGGAGGAGGAGAAGGAGTGGTTTGTGGGGAACAGCCATTTTGGTTGTAGGTAGCGACTGTTTGGGAAGGAACGGGGATTCAGAGGTTAATGTAGTTGGGAACTTGATGGAGGAATGGTGGCGGCCGGCTTGGTAATTTGTATTCTCATTATTTTCTCGTCTATCAGTCAGCAGCAGAAGGCGCTATCACCGCGTGGAAAAAAATGGTTGCCAGACGGAAACCAAATATAAACAAGAGTATAAAATTCTCACGAGGATGAGATATGAATATGGTCGGGTAGTGGGACGGGAAGCGGGTTTTTAATTTCTTTGTTCTTTCTTTGACCTGAAAACCAAAAAGCTGGTTATTGTACCCAACAATCTCAGGAATTTGTCTGAGTGTGGGCTCATTTAAGAAAAAAATACTTAGGATAAAATAGTTATGTTAGATTTTGAAGAATGATATAACTTTGTATTTAAAAAACATGGTAAATTAAATATATATCGAAACTATCAAGAGTATCATTTCATATGTATCAAACAATTATTTTTGCTCTAGTTAGAAATTTGCTTTTGTTAATAATGGATCTTATAGTATTTAGTATTTACTAACACTTCCCTACTAACCAAAACCAACTTATACATACTAGGAAGTCAATCCTACACCACTAAAACTCGTAATAGTCTAACACATCTATAACATTTGGGATGAAAGGAAACTTCTGCAAAATGATGGTTTTCTACCGCCAAACTTCCAGCATGAGCTAACCTTGCACAAACAAAAAAGTTTCGCATACATCCCACATGTGTTCTGCAAAATAGACTAGGAAGTCAATCCTACACCACTAATGTCAACGTAGCAAGCTCCTGATGAAGTAGCACCGGTCTTCCTCGCTCTCTAGGGCATAGAAAAGTCGAGTCTTTGGCTCGTTGTCCACTAAAGCCATAGCAGCATCAATGACTTGGTCACGAGTGAGTCCTCCAATTTTCCCTATCTCCTTGATCAAAGCAGCTTGCTTACTGTTGTCACCATCACGATCACCTATTATGGAGCCAAGAGCTTCCACAGCCTTGAAGATTATTGGCTTCAGCTCACCAAGTTGGGATGAGACATTAACTATAGCTTCATCAGTGTTAATTTCAATCTTTTTTGGCTTCTTCTTAGCACATTTGTTGTTGGCAGCTGCATTCTTTGGTCTACAAGGCTGAATCTTGGTGGCTGGAGCGCCTACTGCTTCAAATGGAGGTGAAAAGGCAGGATGTTGCAGCTCAATACCTTCGTTGATTAAGTCATCCATGATCTCTGTGGTCCTTTGAGAATCCAGGTCAATTGGTGAGTCAAATCCATCCAAGTCCACGACAGTTTCAGGTGATGGTGGACCATCAGATATGCCAACTGTACATCGACCAACAGCTGTCCCACCTTTCCCAAATACCTCAGCTAGCTCATTGTAGAAGGGGAAAGGCTTCTTGTTCAAGTTTTTTTATGTTTGGATGCACCTACAGAAACGAAGCAACCTTATGGCAGCTAGTAGGAATAGAATAAGTAAACCTGCCGGTTTGAGTATAAACACCAATACCTTGAGGAGGTCTTCAAACACATCATCATCAAGATATGGTGTGCATGTGCTTTCATCCCAGCCTTGTCCACTCTTCGAACGAAGCAAGTGTACCGCCATGAAATCCCTTTTCAGCTTCTTGTGCCTGGATCTTATATTTGGTTCCACCTTTACTCCGCAGCCAGGTGCCTTCTGATGCATCAAGTTCTCAAGCTCAGTAAAAGATCCATTTTTGAAATTGCCATTCTCCACTTGGTGCTTCTGTACCAGCTCTTGCATACATTGTATAAGGATAGCATCCAATTGCTCTGTCCATCAGAAATAGGGTCCCTTGGGTTGTTGTTCCTGGCTACCTTCTCCTTCCACAACTTCCACAACCTTTCTCTTCCTACCCATCCTGTAAAATGAATTAGAACAATGAAAGGATAGACTTGGTAACACAGCAAACTCACATACTTCGGTTGCTTAAAGGACAGAACAATGACAAGATGACAACAGCTGGTAACACAGCAAACTCACATACATCATACCTCAACAACACACAGCCTTTCTATTCCTAAAAATAGCTACTAACCAATTAAGCTCACATCTGTATACCAAATACATGATAGCAGTATAGAAAAAGTTCCAGATTCATGAACAAGCTGGGTAGCTTTGCACAAACAGTGTAGACAGTAAACAAACTTACAACATGAAACAAGCAGAAATAGTGTAGACAGTAAACAAACTTACAACATGAAACAAACAGTGTAGACAGTAGCTGGGCAGCTAGCATGAAGAAAGCATAATAATGATAGAAGATTCTCAATACATTGGTTTCTCGCTAACATAACAGAAACAAGCATGGCATAACCATTGTTCAAACAGTAAACAAACTTATAACAAATACAATCGCATACTACAACAGTTCATCCTCTACGATTCCTATTCAACCACATATCCTTTGCCATGTCATCCCTAAAATGGGTCCATTCATTTGAAGGTTGAACCATTGTTATAACATCATCAATGTGCTCGACATAAGCTGTTGGATATAGCTCAGGCTCATTGTCAACAAAATCCCTCTCGAATGTGTCTACACCTCCCTCTTTCTTGATGAAATTGTGCAGTAGACAACAAGAATTAATTACTTGGACCATGACCTCATGAGAGAATCAACTTGAATCTCTTAAGATTCCCCATCTCATTTTATTTATTCCAAAAGCTCTCTCAATGCAGTTCCTTGCCCCGACATGCTTCATGTTGAAGTATCCCTCGGCTATTGTTGGCCTTAAAGCCCCCCACTCTTTAAGATGATACCTCTGCCCCGATATGGTGTTAGGAACCCTTCACAATTGCTATATCCTTGATCACATAGGTAGTAAGTTCCTAAGAAATGGAAGGATTATAAGTTAATCCTACGTTCACAAACATAATCATTCTGTTCAGTTTATTTTTTCAGCTAGCTCGACATTACCTTTGGGAACTCGCAGCCCATTTGGCCTTAACAAAGCATCCCTAAGCACCTTCCCATCATGAGCTGAACCCTCCCACCCAGCTAAGCAATACAGGAACTCAACATTTTGATTAACCACTCCCAACACATTCATTGAAATTGTCCCCTTGCGATCTCGATATCTAGGTTGGTCTTCATTTCTGACACGAACCTTAATATGCGTTCCATCTAGTGCCCCTAGACAACCCTAAAGATCAAAAAAGTTTCCTTAGTCTAATGTCAAATAAGTTAGCCAATAGAGAAAATAAATAACATCTTGTCACCTTAAAGTACTTCCATTTCACATCCTCCGAGTTTTCCGGTACAGGTTCAGGCTGCGGAAGTAAGATGTGGTGGAGTCGAAGAACGCCGTGAAGGACCTTGTGAAATACTTTGGAAATAGTTTGTCCCGATCGACAAAAATCCAATTGCAATGTCCTGTTCTTTGCATTGTGGCCAATTGTGATCAAGAAGATCATCACCATCTCATCTATGTCTACGTTGTCAGTACCCTTTAACCCCCCCTCACTAACAAGGAGGTCACACAACCTCCTAAACAAGGTTCGGTTCATCCTAACCTTATTAATACAATGAGTGTCGGACAACCCAATTATGCGTCTCATATAACGTCTTCTATCGTGTTCACGATCAAATATGCTATCTATAGGGGTGTTAGGAGCTCTGCTGCTAGTCTCAAGCTTTTTCCTAATTAATAGCTCTAACAGTTCGACCAACAATGAAAAATAACCAAGCAACAACCCTAAGACAACCTTAATTGCTGCCGCAGCTTCTCGGTTGCGTGCAGTAGGAACTCTGGTCAATCTAGCCATATCCTTTATACATAAAATAAAATGATTCATAATTAGCTAAGAATAACAGTAAACTGCTCAATCAATAATACAATATCCAAGCAAAAAATCAAACAAATATACAATCTGACTAGTACATGATCACTAGCAACAGAGTTCAACTGGAAGCACTATAATGGCAGAGTTCTTCACATAACTAGAATGTACAGGACTCCAGTCGCGCAGTGAAAGTATGGTATACGTTTGGTTAAAGATGAACAAACACATAGGCATCCAGACATACGTTTGGTTAAAGATGAACAAACACACAGGCATTCACATAAGCACTAAAAGTTACAGAAAACAAAACAATTTGATGCAGAGTTCTCTCTGCAAATTGTCTTCAAATCCGACAGAGGGGAATAAAGAGAGAAAATATTGTTTGATGCAGAGTTCCTTTTCGTTCTAATTCATTGACTTATGGTAGCGACTAATATAATGGAGATGATTTGCAAAAGCGAAGCGACAAAGATGGACTCAACGCAAGGAACAGAGTGTCCTGCTCACCTGCGTTCGAGTTCGCCGTCGGAGGTTGATACCGGCTGAACGTAGACTCGACCTCGGAGGTTGATGCCGTCGGAGGTTGATGCAGTCAGAATTTGATGCCGGCTGCAATTTTCCAGGAAGGGAAGTACTCTTCGACAGGTTTCATGGTTTGGTGAGCAGGAATAGGAGTGCAAACGAAGCGACAGATATGGTGGATGTGAAGAGGGCAATTTTGGTTTAATAAAAAATAATGAGGATAGGAGTGTCAATTGGCCTCTTGGTTTTTCAGCACTTCACCAATTCCCTAATAATCATGTGGGATTTGTAAAGCTGTGGGCCCCACGGATTTGGAGTGGAAAAAAACCTAAATAAATTATACTAATTTATTAATTTTCGTCCTTTTGAGCCACTCGGTACACTCTCCCTATCTCTAATTGAAATATAATTATTTTTACAAACTAGCTATGATTTGGTGGAATTTTTTGTTGTTGTAGATATTGAATAAGTACAACTATAATTTCGGGCGGATCATATGCACCATTGTCATTTGTACGAGCTCGTTATAAAACATTGAATATACCAATACACAATGCATAAATCATACATCACGTATTTCAAAGGTCAACCATTATTATTGAAGTACGTGTTATTTTTTATATCTAATTAACCGTTTATCTCCCGATGACCCACCCTCTAACTTTCTCCCTCCGCCCTTGGTTAAGGGAGCTAACTATCGATACATGTAGCTAAGTTTACTTGGTCTGGACTTACCCTTGTTCAATATTTTCTTAGGATATAATCGGATCCACGAGGTTTCTGCAATATAAGTTATGAACTTAATTGTATGTAGAGGTGGCAATTGGATCGGATTCGTGGATTGGATTGGTGGATCCATGGATCAAATCGATTAGATCCAATGGATTGGTGGATTCATGGATTGGATCAAATGGATTGGTGGATTGATCCATGAATCCAAATGACATCCAAGGCTTGGACGAAAATGTAAATTTTGAAAAGTTTAGGTACTAAAATGTCATAATGAAAAATTTTAGGTACCAAAATGTAATTTTCCAATGATATTTTTCGTATAAAAATATAAATTTTAGGTACCAAAATGTAAAATATAAAAAATATAGGTATCAAATCGTAATTTGCCATTTGGATCCATGGATTGATCCATGAATCCACCAATCCAATTGGATTTGGATCAAATGGATTGGATTAAGTGGATAATTTGGTGGATGGATTGGATTGGATTCATGGATTTGGATCCTAATTGCCACCTCTAATTGTATGCGTGGTCTCGTCAAACACAAGTCAATGATGAATTACAAATATTACAAATTGCAGCATGGTGAAAGGATTCAAGTAGTTTTTTGGCTTGGTAATCTCGTGACTTTCCTAGGCGTGTGGTTTCGTCAAGGCTAGGGCAATCATCAATTACTATTATACATACATGCTTGTTGTCTCGTCAAATATGCATGATCAACAATACTAAAAACATATATGCATGTGATCTCGTCAAACATATATCGAATCGAGTATAAATAAACAAGAACGAATAAATCATAAGCATATCCTCCCTATAATATATAGTAGTACTAGTACACTTTCAACTATTTTTCCCCATTTCAAATGTAGATGTTGTTTATGAGTTTTGGTTTCTTTGTTTTTTTTTTTCACTCTTAAAGTTGTATAGAGTATAGACTATAACACTCTCATATTGTAGTTATTTGCTAAAACTACTATTCTAATTAATGGCTAAGTCACTGCAACCAAAGACCGAGAAGCAGTCGAGTGGAAGTTCAGTTTTAATTCTCAACACAGGGTCACTAATCTATCCTTAGTTAGTGAATTACCTATTATCTAGCAAACAAGTTGTACTTTTGATTATTTTTTTTAATGAAAATGATATTTTATACACATATCATTAAAGCACCAACCAAAAGCCAACAAGTTCACAAGAGACTCAAAGAAAAGCCCAAAAGAAGTATGTTCATGAAGGAAGGGAGGAAAAGGAGGGGAGGGTAGGAAAATTTGGAGGGGAGGTTAAGTTTGGAAGGGAGGGAAATTAGAGGGAATTGGAAAGAAAATGTTGTTTAATGGAGGAAAGTGGAATGGAAAGTGGGAGAGAAAAAGTAGATTGGGAATTGTTATATGTATTATATTTTATTGATGATAGAATAGTTAAATAATTTAATTATGTGTTTATACTATTTACATTAATTATATAATGTGGATCAAATTTGTTCTTCTTTGTTAATTTTGTTAACTACAACAAATCAAAAGTTGGTTATTTGAATGAAATTTGTCAACCTATTACTAAAATTTTGTTAACTATTTTATTGGAGGTCTTAATTATTACTATTATTCATTAGTATGCTTTTCATTATATTATTAGTTATTAAATTGTCCAACTCTGGATCATACTAAGACACTTATAAACAGATGCAAAAGTTAATTAGTGACATGATAGACAAAGCAAATAGTTTTGTTTTTTTGTTTTTGTTTTGGAGGTATTGAAACCAAAGTTGAGAAATCGACAAGTACCACATGTTGAGAAATCCATAAATACCATATACAAACAACCCAAATTAGTTTCAAGATCCAAGTCCAACTCTAAAATAAGGTAATGAAACGAAATTAGTTTCAAGATCCAAGCCCAACTCCCGACCCGAATAACCGATCATATATGTACCGCATTAGAACAAGTAACAATCATTTGTGTTCCTAATCACCCACATTATCCCATGGACAATGGTTTTTGGTCAAGGGTCGAAAAGGCCACAACCCTGGGGCCCAAAATTATGCAAATGGCCCAAAGTTGAAGCGTATTGTCACCATTGAATTGATGAATGTGAAGGAAACGACAGGATCCTTCACAAAATCTTATCAAAGTTTGTTTACGACAAAAAATTACTTTTTATCATTAAAGAGTGAATCATTATTTGACCACTAATCACTAATTATTAAAAAACAGGAAAAAAGGGAAACCGACTTTCACAACTCAAAGAAAGAAGGAAGATATAATTATTAAAATTAATGTGACTAAGTAATGGACCATATTATACTCTATTGGTGTCATTCGGTCCAAACGTCAGTTTGATCCTGTGCCAAACGTCAGTTTGTTCCAGTGCGTTCCGGACAATTCCACACCCCTAAATGAGCGGCAAAAACAATGTGAATTCAAACTAAAAATTTCATCACGTTATGTTGATTCGTAATTTGCGGATTGAGTAACCACAAAATATGACGTAGGAACCATTATTTTAATTATAAAGATCAATACCAAATTTCGAACAAAATAGATCACAATTTTTGCTTATTCCTATAAGTACCTATAACCCACTGCTAACTTTAATTTTTTAATGCTCCCTTTTCTCATTTAATAAAACACAATAAATAATGAACGTTTTCTGCTATTGGACGTTTTTATATATAACTACCACAATAAATAATGGTGTAAAGAGAGAAGAAAGAAGTTTGAAAAGAGAGATAGCAAAAAAAATTTTTTTTTTGCTACAATGAACGTTTTCTCTCCATTTTGGAGGGTTGGGTACAATAGTAACCTTTCTCTCCCCTTAGCACTATTCTAAACTAAAAAAAGTAAAAAACAGAGGAAAGTGCATTGGTACTGCCACTTTCCACCCATTTCTTTCACTTCCCTCCTTTTCCTTCCTATATGAACATAGTGTAAAAGAACACAAAAACCAGCAAACATAACACGATTTAACTGAGAACGCTCCTTTCCAACTATCTTCAAAACTTTGAGGTCCAATTGTAATCTTGATAATAGCATACTAGATTTAATCCCGGCCTGTTGGCCGGATATATTTATAAATGATATAAACAACCATAGTAATTATCTAAAGAAAAAATAGGTTTTTATTTGTTATCATAAAACAGTTCAAATATTTAATAATTGGAAAATAAAAAGAGATCATGAATCATAATTTTTTGTGATCTGTCATTATCAAAAGTTTGAAATTTCATGCATGGAATCAATTTATATAAAACGTCTTCAGAGAAAATATTGATTAGAAATTACCTCTCTCAAGTAATGAATATTATTTCAGATTTACCCTTTCTAGCTAATATCTTCATTCTCCACAATGAACTATATCTTCATTCTTCAAAAATGTCAAGAACATCAATCACCGAATGTACTGCCTTCACCATTAGAAATAGGGGTGGGTGTGATTACCTGTCCCACATTTTGCGGTTAACAACTCACACAAATATAAAATTATGCTACCCACAACTCGTACCACAGTGGATAGTGGTTAACCACTACCCATTGTGGGTTGATGCAGTGTGGATGTGGATACCCACAAAAGTTTAATTATTGAATATAGTAATATGATATTAAATAGCGATGTTGTGCTTCTTGTCACACAAAATAAAAACATACATAAAAGAATGTTAATAAAGTGTTAAATAAACTATAAACCACATTTATAATTTATTGACTTGATTTTGTTGTAAAATAAACATATACCACACAATGCTTATTTAATAAAAGTATCTCACATGGACACTGTGTATTGACTTGGTTTTGTTTTATAAATAATGCGTATTTGGTTTTTTATGCTACTTTAATTTGTAGCCTTGCCGTTTTCACATACTAAAATATAACAAAATATTAATAATAAATAAATAAATTTTGTGATTATTGTGGATTTTGTGGGTTAGCCATTGTGGGTAGTGGTTAATCACTAACCACAAAATAAAATATTAAACACACCCAACCCATTATCCACAAAATGTACGGTTTGGTTCTGATCACCTGCAACGTGCAAATCAAACTTCCACCCCTAATTAGAAGCCTAATCCTCTTCTCCTACATACAATTGAAAGCAAGAATTCCGTGGTATTTACAAAAGTGAAAAACCATTTTTTCTCACCTTAAAAAAAGTTTCCTAAAAATTTTTTAGTACAATTTTATACCTCAAAAAAATCTCATGAATCAAGATACAGAATCTGTCTAATTATGAGAGATTTTATATCCGTAGATTTTAGAGATTGAAATCTATAAAACTAAAATTTGCAATACAAAAAGCAACAAAAAAAATTAAATTTCTACAACATCTAAGGATTCGGTGAATTCACGCCCTAAATCCTGTTCTCCAAACGACCTCTTATATTTTGGTTGCGGAATACCTATTTGCTTTTGGTCAAATTCCAAGTAGACCTTAGGTGGAGTCTGTTGGAAAACTTCAATCAACCTCTTGATCGATAAGGTCGACCAATATAGTTATAATATATAATATATTTTGTGTGGCTTATAACTATTGATCGCATTCTTCTTTAAGTCGACCGTTTTAAAGAAACATGTCTATACAAATAAAATTTGTAGCCTTGTATTTTATATAGAATATGAAGGTCTATCTAAGTATCAAATGGTATATATAATATATTTTGTGTGGCTTATAACTATTGATCGCATTCTTCCTTAAGTCGACCGTTTTAAAGAAACATGCCTATACAAATAAAATTTGTAGCCTTGTATTTTATATAGCAGATGAAGGTCTATCTAAGTATCAAATGGTAGGCCTTGTGATTGTTAAGGTCGACCAACTTGATGTGAAGGTTGGCATCTAACTTTTTTATTGACAATGAAAGAGATCTACTTAGAACTTAGAGTGACTATAACATTAGTAAAGTCAATTTAATTTACATAATATTTCCCCTCATTTTACTGATAGTAATAGGTACCAAAAATAAAATGTTATAACCTTAAACTAAATATAAAGAGGATTCTGAAGGAAAAAAAAACATAAAAAAAGCTCAGCCTTATAAATTACAATGGAACTCTTTCTTCCTCCGGGCTCTGTAAAATAAATGTAGAATTGTAAAAGCAAAAGAATAGAAAGACGTTTCTAGCCTTCCGTGAGTTGCGCACATAGCTCCAATTTATTGTTTAACCCACTCCTGGCCCGGAATCTCCTTATAGGAGGGCAGTGGCGGAGGCAGGATTTGAAACTACCCCTGTCCTCTTTTTAAAATATAAAAATATAATTAATAATTAATATAAATAAAGAATTAATCGACTAATACAATTGATGTTTGCATAAACAACTATGACGAATTTTCATTAGCAAACTGATCACAAATTCGACTTCGAAACTTAATATTAGTATAGTTCAAGCTAAAAATGTTATTTCTACACTTACAGTTGCAACAGGTAGAATCAAAACTAGTTTCAGAAGCAAATAAACTGGCGGATATGACTTACGTACTTTTGTCTCCATCATTATTTGAGATAATTCATCAATTTCTTTCAATTAATGAAATCTCATAACATCATGATAATACCCAACAAGCTATTATCAAATAATTATTATGAATGGAAGAAATAAATTAACTATTTTTATCAATTATTAAACAAGTAATGAACTACTATGTAGTAATAAAATATCCTTAATTATATTACTTGTAGATGTTGCGTACATATATATAGGGTATTTTTTACCAGCCAAATATTACCCGTCCTGGGACAAGGGCAATATAGGCTGGCTCCGCCTATGTAGGAGGGTGTAGATGCCAACTTTCCTCAGAAAGAGAGTATTTGGTCTAGCAACATCTCATCTATTCTCTAGTCGAAGAATGAATTCCTAACTCAAAACTGGACACTGGGATTCTCAAGTTTTTCAAGTATGGAATCAAGACATCATCCAGCCAGGTTGACTCCCCATTACCAATATTCTTGCATATGCCGTAGGCGGTAGGACCCATGGACTTTAAGGGACTTTATTGGAGAACTGCATGCTGGAGGTATGTCGCAATGCAGAAAGAGAACTTAGTAGATTCACATTGACGCTAGGGTTCTTGATGCCATGCCGTGACTCGAGTTATGGCTTCTTGTAAACACAGATGGAAAGGCAAGGTTGGCCAAAAATTTGCGCGGTATGATGCAATCCACGTTGGGGCAGCGGCAACTAGGGGTGTCGTTCGGTTTTTCGGGTTTACCCAAAACCGACCCGATTATATACATTTTCGGTTTTTCGGGTTCGGATTTGTTTCGGATTTCGGGTTTTTCGGTTTCGGGTTCGGTTTTGCTTATCGGTTTGTCGGGTTCCGGCTAAAAACCTCCAATGAATAGAACTCAGCCCGTTTTTTTAGGCGTTTGGGTTTTCGGGTTTCGGTTTTACTTTAACCAAACTCGAACCCGATAAGGAATTTTTGGGTTTCGGGTAACCGGAACCCGCAAGTCCTTATCGGGTTCGGTTTTAGTGATTTTCGGGTTTCGGTTTGGGTAACCGAACCCGACCCGAACTGACACCCCTAGCGGCAACTGAAATCCCACAGCCACTGATCGAGCAGTTAAGGCCCAGAGGCCGAATGGTGATTCCAGTAGGCAGCATTTTTCAGGACCTGAAGGTCGTTGACAAGAACGAGGATGGCTCCATCAGTGTACGGAGTGAAACTTCAGTGCAATACATCCCTCTTACTAGCAAAGATGCTCAGTTGAGGTGCAACTGAGCTTTTAGGATGTTGGGTTGTAAGTTGTAACTGAGGATCACCTGATTTTCTGGCTCTAGTCATGTAAATAAATTAGTTACCTTTATCGCTTCAAGTGCAGCTATACGGGTAAAATATTCTGCTTGTGCAAATCGCAATGCATCAAGGATTTGGCATACAGAAAAGAAGAAAAAAACTAGACGGGAAACAACATCCAATAGGTAAATTCCTTTATACAGCATGTTGAAGAAACCACCCGGATAAAATCTTATAACTATTGGATAAATGAAACTGAAAACTCGAGACCCTCTGACCTTCTCTTCTCTCCAACCAGCCAGCCCTACGTCCCGGAAAGGAAGGCAAAAATCATGGTGACCCTCCTGTCTTACAATCAGCAGAGACCTTAGAAAGATCGCCTTGGTCTCTCCTCCGCAACGTTTACTCGGATGGCCCTCCCATCAAGAGACTGCATACAAAAGAAAACATTACTAAGAACCTCACTCTTTATCGCTACAACGAACCAGCAAACAATCACGTAAATGCAAAGATGCATATATACCTGTCCATCAAGAGCGGCGATGGCATCATTCATCTCCGTCTCGTCAGCCATCGTCACAAACCCGAAACCACGTGAGCGGCCACTGTCCCTGTCGTAGACTACTCGTGCGCTTGTGACCTTGCCGTGCTCGCTAAAGACTTGCTCGAGGCGAGCATCATCGACACTCCATGGCAGGTTCCCCACGTATACTCTGCAACCAGGTTCAAACACACGAGGAGCACGCTCCGGCCTTGATCCTCTGGGAGCAGCTTTGTTCACTGTCAAGAGCCTCCCTCCCATGTCCTGTGCACATTACCAAAAGTTGAACTCAGTTGAAGGTGAAGAACCAAGTTTTGCTCAGAAAGACATGTCATTAGCTCAAACGTTCATGCATATCCTACTAAAGTAAGGACAACTCAATGATGGCTGAACGGAACGTTCCACAATATTACATATATTTCACTGAAATGCAGCATAGAAGTATTAAGCACAGACCACAAACTGAAATTACAGAGTTTTTATTTCCAACCACAGTTCAAGAACCCACCCTCAATGGACCGGTCACAAGACACGAGAGTTAACTCAATTGAGAGTAAGTTCAACAATTCAAAGCAGAAATGCAAATAAGTTCACTAATTCCAGCTAACCCAACAAGATTACATCTCTAAAAGCTTACATTCCTCAACTTTCAGCAGTCGACTCAATCTTTCAATACAACTGAAGAGACCCAAACTGTTTACCTAATAGCTAAAACCCTTGCAATAATTTCATTTTCACTACCGTGCTCAGCAACATACTACAGCAGTAATCAATTGTCGAAAACAGATGGCAAAAAAAGGTTGACTTACATAGCTGCTGAACATATCGACAGCCTTGTCAGCTTCTTCAACAGTACTCATGGTCACAAACCCGAAACCTCGGCTGCTATCAGTCTCCCTGTTGTAAATGACCTGCAGAAACAAACCAAAGTCGAGAAGGTTTGAGAAAGCTGCAAATGGAAAGTCAAACAAGTAAAAAACTCAGGTATTCATTATCCAAACAAACCTCAGCAATTTCGACAGTACCAGCCTGCTCGAACAACATAGCCAACTTCTCACTGTCCACATCGTAGGGCAAGTTACCGACGAACACTTTGGCGTCCTCCGGCGGCTCCTGCGCCTCAATTCCATCTCCAGCGGCGGCATACGAAGCCTCCGGCACCTCCGCGACTGCCGAATCTTCACCTTCGTTCTCCCAGCTGCTTCCTTCTCCGTCTCCTTGTTCCGAGTCAGCAATGGTGGCTGTGGTGTTCTGCTCATCCTGCTGAGCCCAATCGGAGGTCTGGGCAACGAAGGGGATAAGAGAGGGAAAGCGGAGGTGGGTAGTGGGTCTGAGAGAGAGGGAGTGCGAGAGATGGAGCTTGAGGGGTCGAGATGGGATTGATAGAGCGAGGAGAGGGGTTCTGGGAGTGGTGATGATGGAAGGAAGTGATAGGAGGCAGGATTCCGCCATGGATGCGCGGGTGAAGGTTGAAGAGGAAGCCATTGGAAGGGCGTAAAGGGGGTAGGTTTTAGGAGAGGGGTTGGGGGTTGAAATTGAGGGTAGGAAGCAGGAAGGAGAAGAGGATAAGGGGAGCGAAGGCGAGAGGCAGAGTGGCGGAGAGAAAGAGAAAGAGATGGTTTGGGGGAGAAGAGGTGCCTCTTAATGGCGAGTTTGGATGCGGGGAAAAAAGACGAGAAAAAACTTGATGTTGCGTTCATCGACGGTCCAAACTTAAAACTGGCCTGTAAATATTGGGCCCTATGCTATTTATTTCGCTGGGCCTGTCTATTTTTTTTCCGCCTACAATTCTATGTCTGTTACAGTGTCACTCCACATGATTCGAACCCATGGCATTACCAAACTCAAACTGTCATGGCTTTCTGTTCGGATGAGTGTACTGGGGGCTTTCGTCCTGCTCCTGTTGACACCTAAAATTATTTTGGCCAGAATTAAATGCCGCATTAATTAGTCTCGGCATTTAATCCGACACCGCGGGTAAAAAACGGTGTCGGTGTCGCGGAGAGTCAAAACGATACCGCGAAACAGCAAAACGGTACCGCAAGGAAGCTCTGCGGTACCGCGGCATGGGAAACGACACCGCTTAATGAAAATAAAAGAGGGCTGCGCGCGTGGTGTTGGAGAATGAGTTTTATTTTATAATTATTGTTTTTCCTTGTTAGAAAGGGAGAAGCGGTACCGCATGGAGACAAGCGGCAACGAGGAGAGTTAAAACGGTACCGCGGATTTAAAAACGATGCCGCGAGAGCCTGATAAGCGGTACCGATTAATTAAAAATCATATCGGGTAAGTGACCAAAATTCACCCAGCCCAATGCGAGCGCCGACTGGCGGCGGCTCCATGGATTATTATTTTTGGCTATATCAGCGGTGTCGTTTAATTCAAAACGGTACCGCGAGTAAGCCCAACGGTACCGCGGATTAGCAAACGACAGTGTTTAAATAAAAAAACAATGTCGCGAAAGGAAAGGCAAACGGAGCCGTTTTGGCGCTAATGATGTCGTTGGTCAATACACGAGTTTGACTAGTGATGACCGGATTAATTAACTAATATTGTTAATAATTATGTAGGACGGTGTCGTTTAGTTGAAAACGATGCCGCAAGAGGAAAGAAACGACACCGCGGATTTGAAAACGATGTCGCGGGTATAATCAAGCGGTGTTGTTTAGCTAAAAACGACATCGTTTAAGGCATCAACAACGCCGTAGTATTACTAAGCGATGTCGTTTTGTTAAAAACCATACCACGATGGTTTGGATTTTGGCGAGTGGCCCGGCAAGCTCAACGACACCGCAAGACAAGAAAAACGGTACCGTTTGGTAGAGAACAATGTCGTGGAATGAAAAACGACATTGTTTGATGGGACCGGGACGGAGCAGTTCAAGGTCGGCATCTATTAGTGAAAAGCGATGCCGCGGAAAGATTAAACGATGCCGCAGGAGGTATCAACGACATCGCGGTATCATAAACGATATCGTTTGATTAAAAACGATATCGCAGTGGTTAAGAGCTCGGCCAAAGGTGGCCCGCCAAGCCCAACGACGGCGCAAGACTAGAGAACGACGTTGTTTGATGGAGTAACAATGTCGTTGGTTAAACCGGGTCGGGGCAGTTGAGTTGGATTATAAAACGACATCGGTTGGTGAAAGGCGATGTCGTGGTATTGGTGAAACGTCATCGTTACATGGACAAGGTTGTAAGTCGTTTCGCCAAGTTTCTGCAAAGCAAGAGCGGTTTCGAGGGCACGTGATTATCACGCAACAAGGAGGAAGTTACCTTCACGGTTGACAGGAATGAAGACGTGGGAGACAAAGGCGCGAAGGCAGTTACTACGACGAGGAGAAGCGCGAAGTATAAAGATTGGGAAGAGAGAGAAGCTCGGGACGGCAAATCAAATCACAACTGCACCATCGCAGAATTTATCTTTTTTTTCTCTAGTTCGTAGAACTGCTCTGTCAAAGACATCCTTTGCAGAGTCGTAGTAGTTGTAGATCGTACTCGTAGTTGCAGAGCTCTCCAGAGGAACCTCCATAGGAGTAGAGGTAACTTAACTTAGAACACTCCTGGTTCGATTTTCTGGTTATTCGTCGAACACCCTCGTTCAAACGTAGTTTGGAGAGGTGGTGAACCGAATAACGGTTGTTTGATTAGAAGTCAAGGGTGTATCGATCAAATCAACGACGCCGACACCGGCGGCGGATATTTGACGATCTTCTTTGTTTTCTATTCGATCGATCAAATCAATGGCGCCGACTTTGGAGACGGATATTTGACGGTTGTGATTAACGTTGTGTTTTGTGTGTTTACTTGAAAACAGTGCGCATTGAACACACGAGTTTCGCCAACGAAACAGCTCCTTCATTAGTAAGGGGAAGGCCATTATTACTTGGGTGAGTTGATATTAGGGATGACAATTTACCTACTCATGTGTAATTTTGCTCAAACCCAAGTAGGCCCATTTATTATGGGTAGGGTTTGGATGATTAATGTATGGGTTTGGGGTTTGTATATGAGTTTGTATTAGATATTGATATTATCTAAATGGGTATGGGTTGGATATGGATATCCATTTACTTGAGGGTGTTTTAACTATACATACAAAAATTGAACCTATTTGTAAAACTTGAAAAGTTTAGGCACCAAAATGTGAGACCAAAAAATTTTAGGTACTAAAATATAATTTTTCATCGATATTTTGAGGACTTATATGCAAAAAAATTCATTTAGGTACTAAATTTTCATAAATATTAAGTTTAGGTACCAAACTGTAATTTGCATTTGGATATGGGTACAAACCCAAATTCATATGTTAAAAACCCAACTCAATCCAAATAAATGGGTATGGGTACAAACCCATCAAACTCTACCCATCTAACATCTATTTGGATTCCATACCCAACCCAATTGAGTTGGATAGTAAAATACCCATGGATATGGGTAATATTGCCATCTCTAGTTGATCTGACTTAAAGATTTGTTAGCATATATTAACTGATATTCAAAATACATGAACTAATATTCAAGTATTAATGTATCTAGAAAGCACAGACTAGTATTTAACACTACAAGAAAAACATGATTTAGTGTCGGTTGTGTTGTGTCGGTTCACTTAACCGACACTAAATTCTATATTTGTGTCCGAAATTTGCGTCGGTTATTTATCCGACACAATGTTTGGTGATTTTGAGTCGGTTTAGTATAACCGACACAAATTTGTGTGCTTTTGAGTCGGTTTCTCCATAACCGCCACAAATTTTTTTGGTGATTTGAGTCGGTTTAAAGGATAACCGACACAATTTTGATTTGTTTTCATATTGAATTTGTGGCGGACAGATTTTGGTTTCTTCAAAATTTCATTTGGGCGGACAAATTTGATTTAGGTCCAAAATTTCATTTGGGGAAATGAAAATTTTCCCTCCTTTTCTCGTTTACCCACCACCACTCCACCTCACTATTTCTTCCCCAAACCTGTCTCCATCATCTCTTTCAATTGAAACCAACTGTCTCCTCCCTATGCTTCTTCCTTCCCGATTCCTTCTTCCATTTCTCTTCTCCTTCTTCTTCCAATCTTCCATCTACATTCAGTTAGCTGAGACACCAGCTGCCTCCCTCTCTTTATTCCTCCATCACCATCACTCCCAATCTCCTCCCTGAATCTCGTATCAAACCTCTCCATCTTGAAAAACCATGTCCACCCAATTGGACCGCGACGGCGCCGATCCCAGCTCCACCTCGACGCCGCCACCAACACCTTCTCTGTCGTCGTCTCCCTGTCGCCTTACCTCAAATCCTGCAGTTCAATGTCGCCTCCACCACCGACATTGTCACCAGCGCCGCCGTAGATGAAATTGAGAAGTTCTCTATCCCGTCGCACCAACTGGTCATCGAGCACGAGATGGACAAGAACCCATGGGCCACAAACCCAAATGCCGACACCGAGCTTTTCTCATGCTTCCTCTGCTGTGAATGTCGTCGCTAGGGATCTCGCGGTTTGGGTGTGCGCTATCTAGGTTTTCTTTCCAGCATCACAATCTAGGGTTTGCTTGATATGGATTTACCTTCTCGTGTTCTCGATTTGGATATGGGTTCTGATTTTTCCTGGGTCACAATCGGGTATCAGCTATAGGGGAGAAGGGTCACGATTCGGGGCAGAAAACACTCGATCTGGAGAGGGCGGTGTAGGATGTTGAGGCGATGCAGGGAAATCAGTCGGCGACGGGTATGGGCAACGAGGCGATGATGAATCTGGCTGTGGAGGCTCTGGGTCTGCCGGTGAACACGGGGGCCTGGAATTTTTAATTTTTTTTTGTATAATTAGAGTCGGTTATTTTGTGTCGTTTCAACCGACTCTAAACCTGAAATTTAATTAAGAAATGGTGTTTTCCGATATACAAGTTGTGTCGGTTATTAACCGACACAAATAGCATTCGTGTCGGTTACTCCAGCGTTTGCCCAAAACCGACTCAAATTTGATTAGTGTCTGCAGCTTTTGTGTCGGTTAAGTGAACAGACACAAAAAATATTCGTGTCAGTCATAACCGACACAAAACATATAAAATAACCGACACTAAATGGGTGTTTTTTTGTAGTGTAAGAATTGCTAACTGATATCCACCATGAACCAACTATCATCCCAAATTCACAAACTAATATCTAGACAACACAGAATAGTATCCACACAACACATAATTGGTATCCAGATAACACATAAGGCCCTGTTCACTTCCATTTTCGTTTCCTGTTTTCTGTTTTCATGTGATAAATTTGGCAACCGAAATGAGAAAACTTGTTTACTTTTCATTCTGTTTTCTATTCGTTTCCAACTATGAAAACAGAAAGTGGCAACTTCATGCTGTTTTTGGAAACGACAGAATGTTGTTTTCACCTGTTTTCAACATATGTTTTCTCAAAAACAGGAAACAGAAATGAAAGTAAACAGGCCCTAAGAGTATCCATATTGAATACTAGTTGGTTGATTGTGGATATTAGTTGGTATCTGCTGGATACTAGTTTGTAATGTTTTGAATACTAGTTTGTGCTATCTAGACACTTTAGAAAAATCAGTAGACTTGGATATTAGTTAGTATATACTAACGAATCTTCAAGTTAGCAGAATAACTAGGCTGATTATTACTGACGTGGATTCTGATGATGAGGATGCAACTCCGGTTACCCTAGCTTCTCGCCCCGATCCATCCTTCCACATGGTGCTCACCGATGAAGAGTTGGAGGTGGATTGGAGGAAGCGAACATATGCAGAGATGATGGAGTCCGAGGTGTTGCCACAGTCTCTGGCCCTTCTTATGATTGAGGCTCCTAGGATTCTTGTGGATGTTGTCGTACTAGAAGATGGAGAACCTGATTCAAAAAGGCAGCACATGGATGAGGGCGAGTCGTCTTCTTTGGGAACTGTGGAGGTAGCCAGCAGTGAATGGCCCCATGGCACCAAATGAGCATTTTGGCGTGGAATTGTCGAGGTTTGGGGCCTACCTTGACAATTCAAGATTTAGATGACCTAGTTCGTGTTCATAATCCTTATTGTTGTTGCTTTCTAAAACTCGTAATAGTCGGGACTTTGCTGAGTCTGTTGTTCGTAGTCTTGGATTTGTGGATTGTCGTATAGTTAATCCTTCTGTTTTGTAAGGGGGCTGGTCGCTGCTTGGTCAACTGCAGCTTCCGTCTCCTATTAGTGTTTATACTCTTTTTATTTGTCTTTGCAAATTTGCTTTACTGGTCAATTATCAGTGGTGATGTTTGTGTATTCTATGAGGATGGTCTTCGACACCGCCAATTTCGCCGTCTTGTTAATTATTGTTCTCTTATTGATGTTTCACATACCATTGTGGGTGATTTTAATGACTTGCTAAGCTCGGCTGAGAAGCAAGGAGGTCGTGGTTTTAATCCGTCTGATGACCTTGCTTCTCGCAAATTCGTTGATGATCTTGCTCTCATTGATATTGGTTTCTCTTGTCCCCGTTATACTTGGACAAATCGTCATTCTATTTCTTTGTTTATTCATAGTATATTGGACAGATTGGGTGGATGCTTGGCCGACGGGGCCAGTTGAGCATTTGTTAGATCAAGGTAGCGATCATAGAGCAATTCTTTTCTGGTTGGATGTTCCTCAACCTCACGCTAAGCCTCTTTTTAGGTTTGATTCTCGTTGGGGTTCCAATGAGGAGGCTTTACACATCGTGGATTCTACTTGGCGGGAACCAGTTCACGACTCACCATGTTTCCCACTATGATCGTGGATGAAGAAAGCTCTACATAAGCTCTTCTATTGGGCGAAGAAAGAGACCACCAATTCAACTTGTCGGATTAGGCAATTGCTTTCAGACTCTCAACGGGTATGGAATGATTATCCAGTCGACTGGATGGAGCTTTATCAGATTTAATCTGAGTTAGCTATGTCTTGGGTGGTGAAGGAATTATCCTGGAAGCAAAGATCGCATGTTCAATGGCTCTCGGAAGGCGATAAGAACATAGGATACTTCCATGCAGTCACTCGTGCTAAACGACGACGGAATAGAATCGAGGGACCGTTTAATGCTGCGAGTTAATGGGTTTATGAGGAGGCGGGTAAGGAACATATCATGGTGGATTATTACAAGTATCTTTTCACTAGTGATGGATTGGACGTCGGGTTTGCAACTCGCGTTGACCAAAGGGTTAATAGTATGCCTATTGGTAGGCTTGTCTCAAGGGAAATGAATGAAAAACTCTTGACTCTTGTCCCCTCCCCCTCGCGCTGAAACAATTTTCCATATGGGCGCCCTAAAATCTCCAGGTTTGGATGGTTTTACGAGGTGTTTTCGTTCTTTTTGGCATATAGTTGGCAACATTGTCATCAAGGCGATCACTTCTTTCTTTACCACGGACAAACTCTTGTGGAATTTTAATCACACTTGGTTGACTCTTATTCCTAAAGTGGACGTGGTAGAAAAGGTTTCTCAATTGTCTCCTATTAGCTTATGCCAGTTTCTGTACAAAATTTACCACCAAGATTATGGCTGTAAGGTTGGGAAGGATTTTGCCACAATTCGTCTCTCTGGAACATAATGGTTTTGTTCGGGAACGAAAAATTATTGACAATGTTCTCATTGCCCATGAGCTGATGCACTTCATTAAACATAAAAAGGTTTGGCCGCTTGAAATTCATGGCCATCAAGCTTGATATGGAGAAGGCGTATGATTGGATTGAGTGGCCTTTTTTGTTCGCCATTCTTAGGAAATTGGGGTTGGCTGCTGATTGGATTCATTGGATTAAATAATGTGTTTGCTATGCTAGTTTTCGATCTTGGTCAATGGTAAACCTTCCGGGTTCTTCCTGTCTACTCGTGGTCTTTGTCAAGGTGATCCACTTTCTCCTTTATTATTTGCATTATGTTCCGAGGGTTTTTTATGTGATTGTCATACCAGAAAAAACCCGACCAGGAATTAACAATTCCCCAACCGTGGAATCAAGGGAGGAGACTGGATTTTTGGTCCAGAAGGACCCCCCCCCCCCCGACTAGTAACATTAAATACATGACCGGGTTTCGGGCTGGCCGAGTTAGGCCTTCCTTTTTGGTTTGGGTTTTTGTTTCTTTTTGGGTGTTTAGTTATTTTATTTATCTGGACTATTTAAAGGGTTGTAAACACAAATTTTAGAGTAAGAGAATTTTTTGAATGGAAATTAACTCTGAGGAGTTTTCTCCGTAAAGCATGAGGACCATATTGAACCATTCTATCTCGGGGCTTGAAGACGGTGTGGTAGGAGGTGTGACCGGCTCACAATCCATCTTGACATACATCCCGTTTGAGGTATTTGTGCAAGTTGGGGATTGGAGTCATCTTGTAGCTTATATCGTCCTCACCAAAATTTAAGGTGATCTTGCTTCCACTTACATCAATGATAGTTCGTGCCGTGGCTAAGAATTGTCGGCCTAGGATAATCAATGCATCATACCCCTCCTTGTTGAGAACCACGAAGTCCACCGGATAGAAAAAATGAGCACACTTCACCTAGACGTTCTCTATGATTCCTCTTGGCTCGACGATGAACCTATTGGCCAACTCAATCCACATCTTAGTAGGTATGAGTGATCCAAGGTCTAGTTCATTGTATATTCGTGTAGGCATAATGTTAATGCTAGACCCCAAATCGGCTAACGGATCCCAAAAAGTTTTCACTCCTAAGGTGCATGGAATAGTGAAGATTCCCGGATCTTGTAGTTTGGGAGGGTATCCTCCACACCTGATGGATGCCGAAGCCACTTCACTAACGTATACCATAGCTACTTCTTTCATTTTCCTCTTTCCCGACAATATTTCAATAATTTAGTACATTTATGAATCTTCATCACCATGTCTAGGAAATTGATTGTTACCTTCAATTGATTCAAGGTATCCTTCCTCGGTGCACATTCATGATACAGTTCGCTTTCAAATAATCGTCTAGGATAAGGAAATTTTGGTGTTGGATCGGGTACTTGAGTCTTCTTTGACTTCTCCTCATCTTCAATCTTGATTTCAATGGGGGGTTGCTCCTCTTTCCGAACTAGCTCTTCTTCTTGAACGACTGCACATTGAAATTCTCTTACCGAAAACCTCAGAGATGAGATAGGAATCTCCTTCAAAGGTTGGCCATTTTTTAGAGTTACCGGATGACATCCTTCCTTTGGATTAGGTTCGGTATTTCCTGATAAAGTTCCTTGAGGTCTTAACGATAGAGTATGAGCCAAAAAACTTAGTTGAGCTTCAAGATTTTGAAGTGAAGCTTGTTGATTCCTTTGACCCGCTTCCAAACTTGAGAATTTGGTTGAGGTACTCTCTATGAACTTGTCAATAGCTTCAAACTTCTTGTTGGAGTGTGTAACAAATTGACCTACCAAGTCTTCAAGTTTAGAGACTCGACCTTCTTGATACGCTCCTTGGTATGAAGGTTGACTCGGTCTTGAATAAGTTTTGCATTGGAACTTGAGATTAAAATCTCAGAGGTTTCCTATCCGTCAGAGAAGACTAAAGAAAGTTATGATGATTCCTCTAACCCGAATTATATGTTGAGCTATAAGGATTGTTTCCTCGACATTGTCCTCCAACAAAGTTGGCTTGCTTAAATTGTAGTGAAGCCTCGATCATAGACTTACACTCTTCCATAGTATGACTTTAGTCACCACACCAATCACATTGCATAAGTTGCTTTTCATTGATCTTCATTAATGACTCAACTTGATCATTTTTCTTGTTAAGTAGTTCTTGAATATGAGCCGCGAACGATGATGGTTCTTCGACCTTCATTTAATTTCCCTTCTTCATGCTCTTGCCTCTCCTTCTGTCACCCCAATCATAGCTTTTGAGGGCCAACTCTTCAATAAATTGTTGAAGTTCTCCGACTTCTTTGTTCCTATTGGCACCTCCACTAGCCGCATCAATGAGATTCCGTAACTCCTTTGTCAAACCTTTATAAAAGCTTTTCACTTGTAACCAATCGACGATGCCATCGTATGGACACTTGAGTAAGAGAGATGTAAACATTTCACATGCTTGAAACAATGGTTCGTCCTCCTATTGACGGAACATAGTAATCTCCCTATGTCAAGAATATATTCCCATCAATGAAGACCAACACCAGTATAACTTAATGATTAACTTGCTAAATATTTATCGGAGAAAATGATTAACTTGCTAAAGATTAAAACAACTTCAAAGATGAATCTGGTACATTCGGATGAAACTAAACACTTGATGTAAAATCAAATGGAAATTTACTATGCATAAACATAGGTGCACGACTGCACAAGGGAATCAATCCCCTTATCTCTTTCCAGAAAGCAAATCTGTAAAACAACAGCGCCTCTTCAATCATAGCGGATCGCATGCTTCTTTACCAAACAACAGTACATATAAAACATGCTTATAGAAGCATCACACCATAAACCTATGACCAGGTATTAATCGTTTATTCTAGTCAAATATACATTCTCCTGCCTTGTTTCCAATCCCCACATCCACGCAGTAACACATCCCACAATCAACACCTACCATACCAATGCACCACTACTACAGAGCATGGAGGATGACCTGAACTCCGTGCTCCGGGCGGATTGTTATGGATTGACGTGGAGAGTGCACATAAGCAGGGGAGAGCGTGAACGTATAGCGCTGAAGGATCATGGCAAGTGCGATCTTCGCTTCGTTTGCTGCGAAGTTAGCCCCTGCGCAAACTCGATGTCCTATCCCAAACGGGATAAATGCAGATGCATTGCTCTTCGTTGCTCCAGCAACTCCTTCAGAGAACCTCCCTGGATTGAACTGAAGGGCATCTTCCCCCCAAGTTTTAGGGTCTTGATGAAGAGCTAGAGTGTCGATGGTGAAGTGGGTGTTCTTTGGGAGAGTGTGCTTCCCGAGTTGAACTTCCTTGACAACTTTACGAGCCATCCCAATTGCAGGAGGATATAATCTCAGGGTCTCGTTGATTATCATGCCCAACTGCAGGGTGAGAAAATTTAGATAGCAGGACTAGCCAGTTTCATTCGAGTTCATAGACATTAAGCCATGAAGATTCACATAAAGAAAAGGGTCCTTACAGTCTTGAGCTTCAAAATCCCATCTGCATCAGGTGCTCGGTCGCCCAAATGAGTCAGAACTTCCGTTCTCGCCTTCTCCTGCCAATCTGTATTGATCGATAGAAGCAGCATAACCCATGACAGCAGAGTATTAGTTGTTTCTTGTCCAGCAAGATACACTGTCTTGCACTCATCTATGAGGTCATCCTCCGATATCCGCTTGGATTCATCGCTTTCATGTAAAGCACTCAGAAGCAATCCAAAGAAATCGCTTCCAAAGTTTTCTGCTTCTCCATTCACCACCATTTCTTCTCTCTTTCTCAGCATTCTTAATATCACGGTTCGTATGCCTTGTTCGAGCTTGTCCGCTTCAGCATCCTCTCTGCTTTTGTATATCTTGCTGCAACCAATACAAGCGGGCAAGGATGTCAGTTTCAATTCACTGAGTAATTTGATTTAAGTAGGAAGTCAACAATCTCAACATTCAAAGCTGAATAATACCTGATTCCAGGAATCCTAATTTTCAAGTGACTGGATACAGCGAGCTCACCCATCTTGTTCAACAACTCGAAAATGCGCTTCCCTTCAGCGAAATTACTCCCAAAAGCAGTCCTGGAAATGACCTCGGAAGTTAAGAACTTGAATTCTTCGTACACCTCAATCACCTTGCCGACGTGATCCTTCCACCTCTCAAGCATCATTTCTGTGCTAGCAATCATGGCCGGAGTCATGTTCTGCCAGGCAAAAAAAGCACAGGGTTCACTGGTTCAGGCATTTCAACGAACAGGAATTGTGCAAAACCTCGGTTACCAAAAATTTTCCGCCATTCATCAAACAGTATAGCTGAAAAGTGTAATCTTATTTGTGAGTGAATGTAACGAACGAACCAACCTTCAAGCTCTCGCCAAAGAAAGAGTGGTTGGCCAACTTCCTCATCTTGACCCACTTCTCGCCCTCAGATGTCACCAGCCCATCTCCAAGCATCCTCTTTATGGGTCCTTTGAGCTCGATTTTCCGGAAAGCTTTCTCCCGATCAGCCGCCGCTTCCTTCACCAGCTCCGGCTCCGACAGGACCAAGAACGGCATAGGGCCGAACCAGAACGTGAAATTCCTCCCTAATTAAAAACCAGAACACAAATTGCCAGCCTTCATCAGCCGACGAAAAATTCTCAAATAGCTTATCAAGTGTGTGGTAATTAATGTAACACAGATTTTGCTCACCGTAAGCCTTGGTCCAAGCAGAGAGGTGAGGCTGCAACCTGGAATAGATGTCGTGAGAGAGCCCTGTCATGGGTTTCGCCATTGACGCCTGAATCAGCTTCTTCATCTCCACAGTGTTCCCGAAGAAGAACTTGTAGGAAGGTCCTCTGGCTCCAAGGGAATTAAGCCGGCGCTGCAGCAGGAGTGGCTTCAGCAACGTTTTGTGGAGGAAGATTATCAGAGCCCCGAGAAGGCCGAGGCAGAGAGTCATGGGAATAAGCATCTGTGAAGTTCCGAGATTCTGAATCATTCTTCTTTCTTCCAACGAAGAGGAAGAGCTAGCTAGAGCTACTGAAGCTTTTGGGACGTGAATGTCTTACTACTGGATTCATCTAGAGTTTCTCCATTTATGTATTTGTAGTATAGCTACCATTAAGACAGCAGATCCGAATGGGAAAGTCGAGTTTTTTTCTCTTTCGGATATTTTAAACTGTGTGGCGGTAATGATTCTTGTTATCGGGAATGGGCCTATATTACGTAGCCGGCCCATTAATGTACGTAGCTAGGTTTGGTAAGGGTGGACGCTGGTAGTTAGCCCTAGCGATAGCTTGTGGAAGCTAGGGTTAAGTGTTAATATATATGTACAGTCTACGATTGTAACGCAACCAAGAAAACTGAATAAGAAGTTTAGCTCGGAGAGTTCTAGCTCTCTCGTGGACTAGTTCCGATCTCGGGGAAACCACGTAAATCGTGTGTCAAGTTTTCTTCTTGTTTCGTATACGTTAAGAGTGTTTTGATATTCACTAACAATTCTGTGCTAATAATTCAATCGCATATTTCTATGGGGAAAAAAAGTTGAATCACAAATTTGGTTTTCCGGCTTTGTTTGTTTGATTGGACGACGTTCATTTTAAAGTTCATTAAAACATCCGAGGAAAACTGGGGAAAATAGAGATTATTGAAACAGACATGGAAAACGGAAGCTGAAATTTGGACGGTAAGATGCAAAACTGTCATATGCTGTTTATAAAGCCGGAATTGATTATTTGCCCTAAGATCGATGTCAGCGGTCTGATGATGTGAACAATAGAATAAATTCCAATAGGAAATTCTTTTTTATCTGTGGTATAAACCGGATTTGAATATTTGCTTAATGATTATCACATTGTCACAACTAATTTAATTCGAATTTTGCTATAGAGATATGTAATTGATATGCAAGAAGTAGAGTTTTCATGGCACCACTTTTTCGTAATTCTTACAAATTTCAGGGGTATTGTCCCAAAATGCCACATATTTTGCATTTTTTTTCTTATTTCTATTATTTCTTTTGAGTCACATATGTTTCCATTTTTTGGTATTTGATTTTGTATCTTTAGTCATCTCGCTCGAGTTCAAATAGAAAATTCATGGAGAAATATCATAATATAATTTACCATTTATTAAGCTTATTTTTTTGTTGTTGTGTTGAACTTGACCTATTTGTTCGTATTTAGTTTTGCATTCTTACTTATCTATTCTTGCTCCAGCTCAAATAGAAAGGTCACATAGAAATCTCTCACTCCCCCATTAAGAGGGCCGAAGTGTCCTCGAAACAAATGAAAATAGATGCTACGTTCTTCCTTTTTTTTTTCCTCTTGGTCATTTTCCATTTCAAATGCAAAAATTTCTTAAATTCTCTATTTATCAGTAGTCGAGCTCAATAACTTCATTGCCAAAAGAGTACAAATTGCTATGGAGCAATCAAATCGTTGTGATTTTTCTTGTTGTTTTGGAGTTATGTTTTATGAGTTACATTTTACTCATTATTTCATACAACACATTTATAGTGATATATATCACTCGCCGTGAAGCACAAGCGAGCAAACCATTTATATATAGTACAGATAAAAAAGACTAATAAAATATGATAATTGATAAGTTCTTAATTATACATGTTTTACCCCATATTTCTTGATTGTTATGGGTAATTTATCTTGAAAACACTCTCTCCTACGCCATTTTACTCTAGGTAGTGTTCTTTTGCCATATTTCAGGTCCTAGGACGTAGAGAAGGCGTGAGGGTGAGTTTTAAGGTATTTGGAGGTTGAAAAGGGGTCAAGGAAATCAAGGAGAGCAAATGGGAGAAGTCACAACCATGAGAAGACAAGTCACAGTTGCGAGAATTTCATTTAAGGTTGTGAGCTGTGTCCAGGGCTCTGATCAAAAGTCACAGACAACAGTTCTCAAAGTTATGACCGTGAATTTCATCATTTGTCACACTTGTGACTCCCCTTAAAGACATAGGTGAAACAGTCCGTATAAGAATCCCGACCAAAAATACCAAAGTCATGGCTGTGACTTTTGGTCGTGACTTTGCGTTTACTTCTGGTATAGGTTTATGAGATTTTTGAAGAAGAGAGTTGGATTTTGGACTTCAAAACACCAAAAGTACAAACCCTATAGAGGGAGAGCAACCCTAGTAGTATCAAAAGCAAAATTCAGTGACTTCTACCTATTGGAGCTCAAGGAACAAGTCTAGAAGAGGATATTGAAGATCAATAGTATATCTCTATCATCATGAAGTCAATCCTCCTCTTCTTTGTATTCTCTTCTCTCTATGGAGTAAACTTCCTTTCACTTGGGCATGAGTAACCCTAACTATGGTTTTTTGGATTGATGGTTGTATGATTACCCTGACTTGTTAAACTCGAGTTCATATCTATTATATGCATGCTTGTTGAATTAATTTTGTCTTGATCAATTATCATTGATTTTTGTTTTACCCCAACAGAGAGACTATCTGATTAGGTTGATAGAGCAATCATTAATGAATACAAAAATATAAGCTAGCGTGTAATTTATCCCTCAGAACTAGGTTCACTCACGAACTAATACTAGACCCTCAAGGCCTCAACTACCAAAATGACAACTTAATTATACGGAACTCATTCCCTCACTATTTGATAACCCAAACCAAGTTATTCCATTACTTGTAGTATGTTTATTAGCTACTTAGTCGTTTCCTGTTTCAGTTTGTTATATGCTTCATTAACACCACATTTTCCTAATTTTTGTTATTATACTTGAGATTTTATTCCATTTAGTTTGCACAAGTGTTGACATCATAATTTACATTTATATGTTTTGAGAATGGTTTGTGGAGTTGTTGGCATAGAAAATGCATTTGTTTATATATATTTGATTGGTAACTTTCAAGAAAATTAATTTGGAATTAGATATGTACCGATATCGAAAAAAATATTAGAGATTGAGATGTTGAATTTATTTTGAGATTGAGGGTTAAATTGAATTTTGGTATGAGATATCAATATCGATTTCACACATAACTCTAACCATCAAAATTATTATTCAGTCCTTCGAATTCTGTGTTTTACAACCAGCCCTCCCACTTCTATGCTTTACAGATAAGTCCTTGGCAGCATGGGTCATTAATATTTACCCATTACAATTTCCATCCCGGATAGCGTTTGTTTTTTTTTTTTTTTGGTAGAAACTAGAAAGGATAGCGTTTTCCGCCTAAACCAGGAAATCCTTTCCGGATAAGCAGAAAACGATCAGCCAACGCACCACACCAGCACAACCAGCTCCCCTCGCCGCCGGTCTCTGGAAAAAAACACTTGTTAGTTGCAGATGGAGTCTCTGGGACTTCCTTCTCTCAACCTCCTTCGAGCTTCTCATTCAACTTCACATATATGGAAGACCCCAAAACTGCTGGCCAGCAATGTGCATATCTCACATCACTTCGCATTTGCTACTCCTTTGAGTCGGACATCCGCCGCCAATAGAAGCCGCAATCCTGTACGCTGCTAAATTTCGAATCTTTTCTCAGCTCTGATTGATGGGTGTGACCTTGCTTCTCTTCTTCTTCTTCGCTCCTTAGTATTTTGATTTGGGTTCTCATCTTTTCTAGGGAACTCTAGTTTCATATTTGTGATTGCTTTTAATCAGGCCGTTGTAGATGTACGAGCTTCCAGTGAAGACATTGAACTGAAGCAGATGAGAGATATGGCAGCTGCTAAGAAGAGATGGGATGCTATGGTACTTTTTCCCAGTGTTTATCTGCTACCATTGCTCTCCTTATTAGGATCCATATAGAAATTCTAGTAGAATGTCATACATTTTTTTATCCGTGTGAATGTGAAGCTTAGGGAAGGAAAAGTGAAGATTCTTACACCGAGGGAAGCAGGGTATGCAATTCAATTGTCTAACAAAACTCTTCTGGACGTTCGGCCCTCTGTTGAACATGAAAAGGTAACCAAAAGCGACAATTGACAATTGGCAGGTTGCCAAATTTTAGCTAATATAGGGATAGGTCTTTATGCTCTTAGTGTGCACTATGATCAACTTGCAGACATAACCCACAACTCAATTCATTATTTTGTTTACTTCAAGGCATGGGTTAAAGGCTCTTCGTGGATTCCCATCTTTGAAGTTGATAGCGAGCTTGACATGGGAGCAGTTTCAAGAAACATCACAAACTTTGTCATGGGTAATCTTAGCAATCTTGCTCTCTTGTACTTCTTCTAATAGCATATTGATGCAGGCTGTTACTATCTCTTTGTTTTTCCTCATCCACACCATGTTATTATCCGCTGCAGTTTGCTTTGTACATTTCCTTTTACTTCTTCTGCTGATGATATTTGTATGATTTGTGTCCTGACAGGAGGTTGGTGGAGTGGTATGCCTACACTTTCTTACAACAAGTAATGGAGCAATTACCTGGCTTAGTAACATGTTGAGTTATGGTTGCCAAAAAAAAAAAAAATTGAGTTGCATGTTATTGTTTGTACTTTCTTTGCTTGCCAGCCAATTCTTAACAAGGGTTGAGGAGAAATTCCCAAAGGACACAGACATTATTGTTGCATGCCAGAAAGGGTTGAGGTAGTAGTCTCTGTGCTTCATTTGACAATAAGAAACCCTTGCTCAAACTTTGAACCAAAAATGTATTAACTTGTGGAAAGAGACATTAAGCTTTGTTTTGAATAATGATATGCTCCCAGATCTCTTGCTGCTTGTGAACTACTGCTTAAGGCGGGTTATTCAAACATTTTCTGGGTTCAAGGGGGTCTGGAGGCTGCAGAAGAAGAGGTATTTAGTTGCATTTCCAGTACTTGCTTCCTTTTCTTTTTGCCTCCCATGATCTATATTCATCCAATTCCCATTTCAGAACTTCCTACTTTTTTTTGTGTCTTCGCCTATTTAACCAATAACTGACTCTTCTTCCAACCATGAACTAGGATCTTGTACGAGAAGGACCTCAGCCTTTCAAGTTCGCAGGAATAGGAGGCATTTCTGAATTCGTTGGGTATAAATCGTCTCCTGATGCCTCTTATTATTTCATTTCAATCATCTAGTCCTGTTACTTAACCTTGTCATTTTGCATGAAACATGAAGGTTTTTCCTATGCATATCTGATTCGCACTCTGCACGGTCTTGAATTTCTGCTTGACTCCAGCAATCCCATGTTCAGACTGGAGTCTCAAATTTGCTGCTATCACTGTTTATGCAAGTTATATATGAGTTTGAACCAGTAGTGAATATTCCATTGCTATAGTTGGTAATCTTGTTCCTTACCTTGGGAAACTCCTTTTGGCGATAGGTGGACAGACCAACAAAGAGCTGCTGCTGCCAAAGAAGGCTGGGGATACCGGTTACTGTTCTCTGCCCGTCTGGTAATCAACTCCTCTGTTTTCTGCCACCCAATGTGTATGAACAGTGATCATACATGGAAGCTATCCAATATCCATGGATACGGGTGATGATAATCAATCTTGGTCGGTGTGTATCTTGACAGGTTGGGCTGGTTATTGCTGCTGATGCCTTATTTATTGGGGTACAGCAAGTGGGTCATTACATTCAGGAGATGCAGACGCACTAGAGCAGGGCCTTCGTTGTTGATTCTTTGGATGTTTTTGATCAACGAGTAGTATAGGAGAGTATGCAAAGATTTGGCGGAATGTGCAAATGTCGGTCTTTCATTTGATAATAGTAAAATTAGAGCAACGTTTACCTGTTCGGTCTTCATTTGATACTTAAGATAAATAGGTGATACAATCACATTAAAATATCGCAAACGATATCGATCCTTTGAGTAGCTAGATATCAACTACTAAATACTCTTGTAGTAGGGTAAGATTTGATAGAAGCAATGAAGAAACTGAAATAAACATATGAAATATAAAAAAAAAAAACCCCAAAACCAAATGACTAAACCGGAGTCGCCATGGCAAGTAAGGGATACCGCAAATGTATAGTAGGAAGTGTACATTCACTCATGTCCAAATCCTCAGCCTTACCACCATCAGGAAGCGCCCAATCAAATCTCCCCACCAGATTCGCTATCAGAAGCTCAGCAGTTGCAAGCGCAAACGACCTGCCAGCGCAACCCCTTCTCCCCGCGCCAAACGGGACGACGTCGAAAGCATGGACGCTATCATCCAAGCTACGATTCGCAAACCTCTCCGGCTGGAACTCATCTGGATCGGCCCAACGATTAGGGTCTCGTCCGATGGCCCAAGCATTGGTGAAGATGAACGTCCCAGCCGCCAGATTATAGCCCATGATCGTGCAATCTTCCATCAGTTCTCTAGGTGCAAGCAGCGGGACCGGAGGATGCAAACGAAGCGTCTCCAGGATGACTTGTTTCAAGTACGTCATGTTATCCAAATCGTTCTCATTCACGTTCCCTTTGGCAACCGTTCTCACCTCGTGTTGTAACTTGTTCATGATGTCTGGATGTCGTAGGAGTTCTGCCATGACCCATTCCACTAGCGTTGCGGTTGTATCGGTTCCGCCGACAAACATGTCCTGTTCAAGACAAGAGTCAACAACTATGTCGAAATATGTAGGAAAACAATACCAAATCTTATTAGGTTTGTGCCGAAATGTCGCCACACCGGCAATGCAGTCAAATGCGAGTTTCTAACGTAGTAGAAACGTTTTTGTGATCTCTAGAAGCGTGAAATCGTAAGCTTTTAAGTTTTAAAGCGGAGTTTTTAACTACATAAGTTGTTAAAAAAACTGAGATTTTGTGTAGAAGCGTTTTAGTGACGTAGAAACGTAAAATCGTAAGTTTTTAAGTTTTAAAACGCGATTTTGACTACATTGCGCAGCACACGCGTACCAGGAGAAGAGCTTTGATGTTATCTCGACCAAGAAAATGGCCAGACTTTCCATCCTTTTGCTCCTCGAGCAAAACATCCACAAAACTTTTCCCCTCTTCTTCGCCCATGTCGCTAGTTTTAACGCCTCCATTTTTCTCATGCTCGATAAGCACGCTCTCCAGTATATCGTCGAACTCCTTGAACGTCTTATCCACCCTCCGGTTCACCCCCGAGACCCAGTTCACCCAGAACAACGACGGAATGAAATCCCCGACGAAGTATCCGCCGAGCAAGCTCATCAGCTCGTCCAACAACTCCTTGAACCGATTCGACGACGTCGACTCCGACGTCGTCGTCGTCAGCTTGCCACCGAACGCCACCCGACATATGACGTCGTTGGAGAGGCACGTCGCCACGTCGCTCAGGTCGACGCGGGCCCCACGCCGCGACGCGGCGACGAGCCTCTCCACCACCAGGTTGGTCTCCTGGGCCCGGACGGACGCGAAGGACTGCACCCGCTTGTTGCTGAGGAGGTGGAGCACGCACGTGGCGCGCGCGTGGCGCCAGTAGTCCCCCGGCGGGGCGGAGGCGACGGTCTTGGCGTCGTAGAAGAGCTTCTCGATGGTCTTGATCCGGACCCTGGTGGAGACGAGGAGGTCGTGGTTCTTGAACAGCTCCCGGGCCGCCGCCCCCGTGGAGACGAGCAGCGCCGGCCGGCTCCCCAGGCGGAGGAGCATCACCGGGGCGGCGTAGCGCCGGGCTAAAGCGGCGAAGGTTCGGTGCGGGTGGCGGCCTATCTGGTGGAGGTTGCCGATCACCGGCAGGCCCGGCGGCGACGGGGGGAGATGTTTCTTGGGCGGGGCCGAGGAAGTGGATGAGTAGTATCGGTTTAGGAGAAAGTAAGCAGCTGAGCAGAAGAAAATGGCGGGTAGTAGCAAAAATGAGCAGTGGAGGTGTTGGGCTAAGAAACCCATGAACGTGAAGTGGCTCATTTTTCTCCCAATTCGTGAACTTGAGCTAGTGACCGGCCGGCGGCGAACGATACAAGGAGATGCTTCCGGCGAGTAGATAGATACGGGTCCCCCAAGGGCTTTTTATATAGAGGAGGATGCAGCACAAGTGTTTCATTAATTTTGTCGTATGTTTTAAAGCATGGAAACATGCGTACAAGTCATAAGTTTGCAATGAACCAATTGGATGGGACAAATTATTGAACAAAATTCGGGATGCATGAGGCGATCAGCATATATCAAACTCTCTGGGGGAAACAGCCAAGAGGGATAGTATGATCAAGAGTATCAAGATGGGATACTGTATTCGAGCTTGCCTGCAAATTCTGTCGGTATGTGGTCCATTGGTATTCTGCTTTTCGGTTGATTCCTTCCGTTTAACCGGCCAGAGGGAGGGAATGTGAGAGTACTTTGGTGTTTTAAGTCAATTAACTATCCAAGGGTAATCCAACTCTGAGTCTGATATATGGTTTCCCGTGTCAAGAATCAGTTAATTTCAATAGGTCGAGTTAGTGGGAAATGTTCATTTTGTTAATTCATGTACTAGCTCATTTGTACATAGAGCTCAGTATTGATCCATATGTGAGACCAATGTAGTTGAAATCACACTTTAAAATTTAAAAACTACCGATTTTACGTTTCTATGTCACTAAAACGGTTCTGCACAAAATCTCAGTTTTTACACAAAAGCGTGTTTCTACATAGAAGCATTTTGTGATCTAGAAGCATAAAATCTTAAGTTTTTAAGCTTTAAAGTGCATTTCTAACTACATTATTATCTGTAAAAACTGCAATTTTGCGTAGAAGCATTTTGGTGACCTAGAAACGTAAAGGTTTAAATTTTTAGGCTTTAAAGCACGATTTTGACTACATTACTGACATCAGTATCCTACAAACTAGACTATGAGGATCAGCCAGGACTAACTGATGCGCAATTCTACTGTCGTCTTCACAACAACATTGAAACAACATTCTCTCGTTCATTTTCTGTATATAGACGAATGATGAATGTACAGAAGGACTAAGAAAACTAAATAAAATCAGTAAGCTGAAGAGTTTTAACTCCTTCGTGGATTAGTCCTAGCATTCCACAGATACCACGTAAAATCATATTGTGTTTTTGTTTGTTCATTTGATTATCTCTAGACTAGGGGTGGAGGTTCGATTACTGGTTAACTGGTCGATTAAACTGATAACCAACCAGTTATCCACTAACCGGTAACCGATATAACCGAAATTCGGTCGGTTATCGGAGGCTGGACGATATGGTTTTGGTCTTGGAGAGGGCTCAGTTAACCAGTGACCGAGATAACCGAGATGACCGAAGCCTATTTCGGGCGGTTGTCGGTAAGGGAGGACGGTTTCGGTTAACTAACCGAATCTCCACCCCTACTCTAGATCGATTATCATGGTATCAAAGCCTTCATCAATGAATTTTGAAAGACCTATCCTTCGTCTGAGCTCCACCAATCATGATGTGGGAATGTCCAATTATGAGTATTCACCGAAAGACGAGGACTCCTTGGTATACTCAACCATTCTTCTCTAAAACCAACTGAATCCGCGTCACACAAATCATTGCAACGTGGAATTAGAATGATGCAAAAAGTGTGTTTCTCACTGATGGGATCCGTATACCCTTCAATGTGCCAGTCTCTTTGTCTATTTGTGACTACATAATGGATATGGAGGCATCTGGCTTCTTTTGGCCGCCTGAGCAGATAAAGCTCAAAATTGGCGGCCCATACTGAGAATTTTCAGTTTTGGACGCTGAAATGGGCGTCATTTTGGAGGAAGCCCCTACTTCATCAGAAAGTTACCTAGAAGCTTCCTGATTCGCTGGCCATGTGTTTGGAGGCTTCTGATTGGTTGAAAAACATGGAAGGATGACTTTCTCTCCCCAAAACCATAACCCTAGGCCTATAAATAGGTCTCAGGAAGCTCCAAAATGGCTAAACTTTCAGATAGAGTTGCTATGCCCCCAGGGCACCTCTAGACTTTAGAAATCGACTAGAAGCATCCGAGCAGCACAACTACTTCGGCACCTAGGATGCCGACTTAGGATTCTGGGTGCCATTTTGGGTGTTGTCTTCTAATCTCTCTTTTTACCCTCTGTAAACCCCTGTTTGTATGAGTTGCTAGTTTGGTTTTTCCTATGGGCCAGCAAACCCTAGAGGGCCTTTGATTATGTAAAACCTTTGATTTTGGTATGCATGATGTTTTGATTTTTTCTTTGTGTGCTTGTTTCCATGTGTGTTGCCTTCTATCGATTAAATGATTGCTTAGTAGACCTTGCATTCCTTGGAGTTACAAGGATCGAAATCCAAGTCGTGTAGGATGTGACTAAAAATAACAGTCCTACTAAATTGATCCCCATTCAATCGAACGACGTGATGCCTCAAGAAAAAAATCCGTAGGGTCCTTGTCGCTAATCAGACCTCAAGCGAGAGTCTTGGCACAAGGTAGGATTAAACCACGTACTAGACCAAGCAGTTCATCCAAATTTCCCTTGCCATGGTTATGGTGTCGAGATACCTATGTGTGGGTGGATATGACAGGTGTGAAGCTTATGCATATCTGCACCTAAAATACCATACACGCCTAGAAGCGAACTTATTGCATAACGTGACATATGCAATTTGAATGTCAATTCTCCTATGTGTCTCGCTTGAGCTTGGAGACTATGATCACCATTGTGAGGGGAAAGCGACCAAATAGCAGCATACTAAGAGGAGAAATCCATTGTGGATTACCATAAACTCGACTATATGTATTCAGAATTGTAACAAAGTCAAAGAAACTCTAGGGGAGTTGACCTATGCAACACCTAGTCTTCTTGTCTTCCTCTCACGTTAGTAAAGTAGATGTGTCTTCCTATGTTGTTTGCACAAGGTAGAGCTCAACCCTCGCCACTGAAGTAAGTGGTCGTGAGAAATCCGAGGGAATATGATCTGTGGACCCATCGTGTGCTCAGTAAATTTGATAGAGAAACTACAATTGATGTCATTTGTCATCTTCATCGGTCTATGTATGATCTCGAACAAGCCCCACGGGCTTGGTTTGTGAAATTTTACTCTACCATTTCTTGTCTTGGGTTCAAACTGAGTCTTAATGCTCTGACTCTCTTTTCAATAAGACTTATACTATTTTGGTATTGTGATTTTGCTACCGTATGTTTAATGATACGGTGATAACTGGTATTGGTCTTATTGGTATTTGTTGACTTATGGATGGTCACCGTGTTGCCTTCAGTCTCAAGGATCTCGACGCCCTCTCTTATTTCTTTGGGTTAGAGGTCACCCATGGCTCCCCAGATATTTTTCTTAGTCAATGTAAGTACATTTCTCACTTACTTAGTGATCATCATTTCGAGGACGGCAAACCTGTTTCACTCCTATGAAATTGAATCTCAAGTTGGGTTGGTATATGGTGAACTATTTGTAGATTGTTCTATTCATCTTAGCACCATTGGTAGTCTTATCTATCTTTTGCTACTACTCGTCTAGACATCTCTTATAAAATTCATTTTGTCAATAAGTTCATGGTTGTTCCACATACCGATCATCTTGATGCAGTTTCTCGTATTCTCCGGTATCTACAAATAACACGTGATGTTGGTATATTTTTCCCCTTATATTAGATATATGCTCTTCGTGGTTATTCCAACTCTGGGTTTGCTGCTTGTGTTGATACCCATCATTCTACCTCCGGCTGGTGTGTTTAGTTCGGTGATGCTTTCATATCTTGGCATCGCAAAAAACAGGACATTGTTTAAGCCATCCACTAAAACTGAATATCATTCCATGTTTGATGTTGTCTCTAAACTGGTATGCCTTCATCATCTTCTATTCGACCTAGGTATGGTGTGTCTTATTCCTATGTCCTTGTTTGTGGACAACACTAATACAATTCGTATTGCTGTAAATCCAGTTCTTCATGATCGTACGAAACAAGTTGAGATTCATGTGCACTATTTTGTGACTTAGTTCGGGATGTTGCTATTACACTTCATTGCATACGTACTATTGAGCAGTTTCATCTCATCACTAAAGCTTTCTTGTCCATTCACCATTTATACTGGTGCAACAATTTGATGCTTGCTAATCAACATCAATTTGGGGTAGGTTATTAATCCATGCATTAGCCCATTTGTACATTGATCCCATTATTGATCCATATGTGAGACTTCGGTTAGTGGCGACAACAATCTCTTAAGGATTAGACTATGAGGATCAACCATGACTAACATCTGCATAATTCTAGTATCGAGTTTACAGTAGCATTCCAACCACATTTTCTCTTTCATTTTATATATAAACGAATGATGAGTGTATAAAAGGACTAAGAAAACTAAATAAGATCAGTAGCCTGAAGAGTTTTAACTCTTTAGTGGATAGTTTTGGCATTACAGGGATACACGTAAAATCATATTGTGTTTCTGTTTGTTCATTTGATTAGAATTTATCACATGTATGTATCATATATAATTTAGTGACACCCCCCCCCCTATAACAAAAGTTGAGTCATATGGGCTTAAAACTTGCATAGATCCGTATTTCAAGTGCTTAACATAATAGATAGGGGTCATCAGGATTTGTACAAGAGACCTCTCAGTCACAGAAGGTTCTGATACCATATCAATAACTAGTTGATCCCAATAACTCGAGTTGTTGGGAGAGGTTCATTTATGGATCATATATGATTTACTATCACCGCAAACTTGTCAAGTGCCTGCACACACATTAACTTCGGGGTTGGTAAACCCTTAAGTCCTCCTATCATCAAGTTAGATATCAAGCTTTTAGGGAGATAAGTGTAATGCAAGGTGGGGTGAGAAAAAAAAATAATTATAGGTAAACATATTCTAACAAGTCTCTTACAAATCCATCGGTGGCAATCACCACATCATACTTCCTTCTCCCCCTCGTCTCGACATAAGAGTACTGCAGTAGAACTGTATTGCT